AAAATTTAAAGTGATCCTTAAGTATGACAAATATAGTTAAAGTAGCTTTAACAATAATATATTTTAATAACACTTACTTGCATGTATTACTTAGAACATAATTATTATATATATAAATATTTTTTTTTTTTTTATATATATTTTAACATATATATAAAATAAAGTTTAGATGTGTGAACGGCGAGAAAATATGGTTATTTTAGCAGCAGTAATGTTATGAAGTTTGTAACCAATACTATTATTTTTAGCCTTTTACTAGTCAGTAATCAATACTATCCCATCCATTAAGTTACCATAATTAAATAAATTATATCCTATATCATTGTTATTAAAATGTGTATTCCAAGCTTACATACTTTTGTACTTTGTCAACTGGAAGGTAAATGACTTAAAATACAGTCACCGTAGCTGGTGATTATTTATTAATTTTAAGTAAAAAAAGATTTCCCTTTTAAATTATTAACATTTTTAAAGCAATATGACCACCGTTTTTAGTTCATACGTTTTCCGTTATGGTAACAACTTTATGTTCAAATGCAATAAAGAGTTATCCATCTCTATCTAATGTAAATTGTACGAATTCATATAATATTTAATATCCGAACCAGTTGGATACCAAAATTACTATCCAGAACCGTAATCAAGATACATTTCACTTGGAGCTGTTGTCCTGTGACATTGTACCGGGTTGGGAGACGAAATTTCTATTATGTTCTTATATTTTTAAAGCCAGAAATCAGAATAAAAGATATCATGTGTATGGAGAATTTTTGAAAACTCTTTATATAATAAAAATAAATTAAAGTTTAATTAAACGCGATAAAATTCGTAAATAATAGTTTTATTCAACTCTTTATATTTCAAAAGTCGCTTTTACCCGTGGCACCGATCGCTTTTGATTAAGAACATACTTTTTATTACAACAGCCTTTTATATACAATAATATAAATTTATTCTATAGTTTTACACGATTGAGTCAGAAACTGGGTATCTTTCATGTAAACATACGCATTTATAATATAAGTAGGAAGTAGGACAGTAGGATTAAAGTCGTTCAAAACGTAACATCACTGTACTTTATATTTATAATCTGTTCCTACATTTAATACAAAACTACTTACTTCTGTTCCTACATTTAACATAAAAATAAAAAAGAACGACAGAATTATGTTGTAAGTTTCTACTTTGTTATTACAAAGAAAAGTGAGCCCGAAAAGAACAAACTTTTAAAACGTTTTTTCATTTAATATATTTAAGAATATAAATAAAGCAACACTAGTTTAGACAAATTGCTAGAAACGCCGCTGACGGCAAAACGTCTTTAATTAAAGGAAAACTAAGTTGTTTTACTACGTGCCATAATTACAGAAGAAAAGTTCACTGCTTACTTTATTTTCTCGTCGTCCAGGAATGTCCTGGTGGAGTTTTTGAATATAATGGTTTTTATGAGGATATAGTTTTTTTTTGAAATGTTGTTTTTAAACATTGAGCTATTATGTACTACGTAAAGTACATATTACTTCAATGTTTTTAAAGGCGAAATGTTTACGGTAAATTTGATATAGGTACATATGTACTAATATACGACAATGAAACTGCATCGCCACGCCGCCCTCCCTACTACGAGTATGTCCCGCGAACTGTGTTTTGGCATATGCTCCTTGTTTTTCTTCTCACAATCAAAACCGTGTATTTTACATATTTTTGTATTTAACATGTTTTTCGAAAAACATTGATTTGCCTCCAACACGCGTGTGTGTTTCTATGTAAGTAGTTAGTGGCCTAAAAGCGCTGTCGGATCTTTTTCTCCTGCCTTAGATTTTTTGAATTGTATTTTTATGAATTATCCCGCCCCGCCATCGTTAAACTTATATAATGTTAATTATGTACATTAAAAGACTTTCGATCAATTACTCTTAATAAAATAAAATTAGCTTAAGTGTATAAATGTTTCTATCTAAAATTCGTACTAATACAGTCTCAATAATTTTTCCAGTTGCTAGATATTAAAATAATTTGACATAGGTATACAAGTATTATGTTAGACAAATGTGTAATAATTCTCTTCGTGCGGTTTACTACACAAGAAAAGCGAGGATATAAGAAGCGCTTACAATTTTTATGGCCGTTGGGCGTAATTACGTCATAAATATATCTATAAAGTCGTCCTAAAATTAATTTCTATCACGAAGAGTTGTGGCTAATTCCACTAATATTTCGGAATTTTAATCTGTAAACATTATCGCATGAAGATATTATTTCAAGTTCTTTATGTGAAGAATCTGAAGAAAAATGCTACTTCAATAGAGCGAGCCGCGACTAATCTTGCACATTACACATGATTGCACTTTGATTACTGTAAGCTCATAATAATATAGACTTACTTCTTTTTTTATAGAATAACAAACGAGCACACAGTCCACCTGATGGTAAGTGGGTGCTGTGGCCCATAGACATCTACATCTATCCTTGATTACGAATCAAAATGCAAATGCGACACCCGTGAGGACTAAGATATAATGCCTCGTTTCCAGTAAATTGGATCTCCGGTTCTCTACATCACCATACGAACACAGCAGCATTAAGCTACTATTTTACGCTGGTATTCTGTGAAAGCGTGGTTCTTCCCCGGTCGAGCCGACCCATTCGTGCTACAAGTATACTACCAATATAACTATATGGCTCTACCACGTAAAAAAGGATGTTAAGGCGCTTTGATCAAGCGTGCATAAAACACTTGTTAATAATTAGATATCTTTATAACACATACAATACTGAATTTGTTAAAATAACGTTTTAGAAAATATTTCAAGTATTTCATTAAGTATTTTTATTTGAGATTCTTTCATTAAACCTTAAATAGCTTGTAGATGCTATAATTAAACTGGGTCAAATTTTGCCCGCCGGCGGTTTACGGAGGTGTCAAACTTTGGCGGTTCTAATGTTAAATGCTATAATTATTAAATAAATAACTAGAATAAAAGCTTTTCATAGCCTATGCTGCGTATGCTCTATATTTTAAAACTTTTAATTTAAATCAAAACAAATTACAAAAAAAATTATTAAGTCTCTAATTACATTTATTATCTGCTAGTTTTTAGAACAAGATTGTCCTTTAAAGCTCAAGTAAAAAGAAAATAGGCTTTTATTGTAACAGTGTCCACAAAACTTGGTGGTTTTTATCGGTGCCGTTCATATGTTCGTATTAAATCTTGTAAAGGGATAAATAAATAAACCATAGAAGTATAATAGTAGATCTTGAATAAAAATATTTATACGGATTTTATCGCGTTTAATTAACTTATTTTTAATTCCCCACGATTCGGGGCTTTACAGCACCCATGGTCACGGGTGGGGGAGACTGGGATGTTTACCTTCAGTTTTTAATTTTTGGTCCGCTACCAAAAATTGTTATTCAAAAACTGAAGGTAGCCGGGCTAACTATGACATTGGGACGTCAAACATCTCAGTCCCCCCCGTGACCATAGGTGCTGTAAAGCACCCGAATCGTCGGGAATTAAAAATAATTTAAAAATAATTTAATTAAACGCGATAAAATCCGTATAAATAGTTGTATTCAATGTGTAGTGTTCGCGAAAATTTAAGAAATCATAATAGTAGATCCTTAAACATTTTTGGTTCAATCGATTAAACGATTCGGTGTAACGATTACATTAAAATATTTCATTCGACTTAACTCGCTTTATATCATTATTTTCCTTTTCCAATTGTTAAAGTATATCACAATTCACGATCACGACCCGCGATATTAACAGAGCCAAAAAAGAAAAAAGTTGAGTGAAGCCATTAAAACTTTTTCTAGATTTTATCGAGAGCCGATTACAGGGTTTGGAGTTTGTCGTCGGCACAATTTTTTGATGATTAAAAAGGTGTAATAATGATACCAGTCACGTATCATTATTACCAACCTTATACTATTGAATGGTATAAGTTACCAACAGAACCTTTAACATAATGATATTTTATAATATTATATTAATATACAAAAGAAAAAGTCATACTCTGTATTTGTAGTTTGTTGCGCTATCATGGTAAATATATAAGTACTAAATTTTTTTACTTACATTTCATTAAATCAACTTCTAATTTCAATTACAATAAATCGCCTAACAGTACAAAGGCTTTGTATTCGAACTTCAATAGTCCTTATAAAGAATTCCGTCGGTTTTGGGCATTTTTACAGAATTTTACCAAACTACATTTAACTTATAAAGTAAGGCAATAAAATTGAAATTGACATAAAGTTTCAATTTTATTTTAATACACAAACATATAGTACACTTTTCTTAACCGAATTTGAGAAAGGAGAAGGTTCTATATTCAACGCAATGTTTTTTTTTCATTTATGTTAACCAATTTCTCGAAAACATCTAGACAAACAATATCTTCTGAAGTCCTTCGATACACGTCCTAGCACCGATTTCAGAACCTATTTTATACTTTATAGTTTTTAAAGTCAGTTGTTACTTTTTATTAAAAGTTTTATGCTTTTTACAGTGATAGAAAAACACGCACGTCACAATTTATCACCAATTCCGTGCTAATTATTGACTGGCGCCTTATCGATAATGTTGTGATGTTGACATACATTTATATTGTTCGTGAACAATTGTTTTCCGTAAGCATTCCAACTCCAATTATTTTTAACATAGACGGATTTTGAAGCAAACACAAAATACTAAGGCATTATTGAGTGCAGCATTTATCTTATCTCTTATCAGTTTAAAGATCGCTACTCGGCCGCCTACGGGGTCTCTGGTTAGTTTATTGAAGTAATAAACAAAAACGTTTACGTGAAAATTGGAAAATCAGGTTTGCATGGTCAAGGACGCAATTCGCAATATGACGTAAATATATAAGCTCTCTAATTCTAAATAGATCACAATGAGATTTACGAAATTCGTAATATAATGATCTAATAGTAGCGTGATCATTGGCCGAGGCGAATGTTTTGGTGCGTGTGGATATCGCGGTGACGGATGACGGGTAAAGTTTACACAACATTGTGCACGCGAGCGCGGGCGCGCGGTCTTACCAGTTTCATAAATACGCGACCGCAGTTCGAGCGTGAAACGCCCCACCATAGACCTGCCCACTCAAGGGCACTATCAGCGAGCCCACGGACGATAAACACTCACCTTTTTAACCTGGAAGTGGTCGGGGCGCAGCGTCTCCTGGATCTCTTGTTCGACCCCGCGCGGCGCAGCTTGCATCGAGCTGCGGAACCCGTCCAGGACGCCTTTGAAAGTAAACTTCTTCATCGCGAACCGCGTAGCCGTCGCGGATCCTTTGTCCGATCGCCGGCCGCGGCTACATCACAGCCGTCCGCGGCGGACAGCGAGCCGGTTTTGGCAGAACGAGCGCGAGCTCGCGTCGCCGTCAGTGCGCAGCCCGGCGCCTCCGCCGCCACGCGCGCGCCACGCCGCGATCGACGGCAACCGAGGCACCGCCTCCGGAATGTACGGCAATGCGGTCTCGCCCGCGATCGATACCTGCCACACTGCGACACACGCGCACTCCGCACCACACGCGCTCTTCCAGAGACGCTCGCCAACTGGCCAGAAAGAGCGCGATACGTTCGATCGATGCTATCACACGTGCCACTGAAAGAGATGAGCGCACATTACGCACGAAAGTTTAAGCCGCGCCTTGCGAAGGAAATTACAGCTGATATACGGTCCAAATCGCTGCTCACAGGTGGCGCTCCACGAAAAACATCATTTACGCAATTTGTCATCAACTGTCAACTGTCAGTGTCAAATGTCAGTGCATAAGTGGTGCTGCTACTGTCAAAACATTGAAAAAGTTAACTTTTACAGAAGAGGTTTTTTAGAGAAATGTCGTTCAAAACAGTTGTGAGGAGTTTACAAACTCTAAGTTATGTTGGAAGTTATAGGAAAATACGAGATCGCCCGTACAAGTAAGCGTATTATTACATTACTTACGACTTTATAGCACCATCAACCTATTTATTATAAAATGTTATATGAGATTCAACATGTTTTTAAACTATTAATATATTAACAACATTCAATGATCCATTAGTATATTCTACTTATATACTTCCTTTCACACAACCTTTTATCAGATAAAAATAAATTATTGACACATTTTTATCAAGCTGCTTCAGATCAGATTATAAAGAAACTAAATTTGTTTGAAAGGTTCACAATGTGTAGTTAAAAATAAATTATTATCATAATCTTTACTTGGGATATAGAAGTACCTATCACAATTTCGTTTGATATAAAGGGGTGATGAGAGTGGAAAATATCAAAAGCCTAGCCTACTTCATGAATCTTACTTATAACATAGGCTTGGTTCTGTATCAGTGCTTATTTATTTTGTTGTGGTTATAAAAATACAGTGTTAAGTGTGTAATACAATATTAAGAACATTATTTATTGATTTTTAATATCATTAAAATTAGTACCTGAATTTTCTATTTCCATAAACGAAACCTATATTGTTTTTTTAGATAATTGTTGATAAGTGGGCTGTGGGCTATAGATGTCTACATCTATTCTTGAATAAGATAACAAAATGCAGATATATGATTATTGTAATTTAAGGACTCAAATGAAATGTCTCTCTATAACAGTAAAAATGGTTTCACCAGTATTGTCCTGATAACAACAAAAGTAATAAAGAACTGTGGTTGCCAACCTGCCAACCAAGAGTGGCATCTATGGTAAACATTCCTCCTTCGAGGTAGTCGAAGGCGAAGGCCTATGTGTGTGTCTTAAGTGGCGGACTTATGCAACGCTGAAATTTAAGAAATTTAACTTAGTAGCTTAGTACAATATAATTGTTGCATATCATGTTTTTATATGTAGCTACATATTATATCTTCCTCTATCCTTGAGCAATAAATGAAACTAATCCTGTATTTATTATTTAAGCATTTATTTTCTATTTGCTTATCAACTACATTATGACAAAACAAGCACACAGTCCACCTGGTGGTAAGTGGTTGTTGTGGCCCATAGACATCTACGTTTATCCTTGATTATGAATCAAAATGCAAATTCATTGCCATCCGTGAGAACTAAGATGGAATGCCTTGTTTCCAGTAAAAAGGATCTTCTGTTCTCTCGAAACTCACCATACGAAACACAGTAGCATTAACCTACTATTTTCTGCTGGTATTCTGTGAGTGTTTGGTCCTTCCCTGGTCGAGCCGAACCATTCGTGCTACAACTATGCTACTAATACAGCTGCAGCATGGCTCCACCACATTTTAAATTGTATTGGGCCGCAGTATCCTCTTACGATCAGGTGGACTGTCAGTTTGTTTTTCACTTCAATTTTATATAAAAAGGACTTGTAAAATTCGCTATCATATGTATGTTAAAACAAGATGATTTTTCTTTATTCCAAAATTATTATAAATGATGCACGGTCTATGCCCAGCTGTGGGACATATGTAGGTTACAGTTTACTTTTATCACTTCTAAAATGATTTCTTGTATATAACAAAACTACCCTTCACAGTAGAATATTCTCACGCATTGTGGAAGAGTTTAGCTTACATTAGTAACACAAAAACAAATATTAGGTTGCACGGTTGCAGAACAATTATTTGTGGGTCATACAAGTGCTTGATCTTTGCAGGTTCGAACCTGTCGCCCTGCAACGTCGCAACCAAATACTGAGCCACTATGCTCGATTCATAAAACTTCTTAAACAGGTTTAACTGTACAAACTGATAACATTGGGGTTTATCAAGTAATTACAGTATAGAAAGTGCTCATTATTGCCAACAATAAAAAGATCTAATGCTATATGATAGCTAAAGAGGTTTTATGTACATGTAAAACCACAGTTTTTTTGAAGAAAATTGTTTTTAGTACAGTAATTTAATAAATTACACTTTTGTTTCTGTGGTCGAGCCAAAATCAGTAAGTGGGTTTTCCCATCAAAAAATTCTCAGTTGCAACCCAGAGTCAGGAAGTTGGAGGTGGTTCACCCTCATGCCTCGGAAAGTACATAAAACAGTTGGTCCTTTCTCTACGATTGCGTCGGATTACCGTCACATCGGACTATGAGAGTGCACCTGTCCTCGCGCATACACTTGGGCACTATAATTCTGTCCTGCGCAGATGGTTAGTCTGCGTCTAGACTGGCTGCCGGGAACGAAATTCGATCTGGAGGATATTACTTTGCTTGATGCGACCCCGCAAGTGGTTTCCTCTCAAGTGGCAGCCTCTTACCGGTAGACACTTCGTCACTTCATTGGGCGTCCCCACACTAGATGAAGTGACGACCTGGTAAGACATGCAGGAAGTCGATGGATGCAGGTGGCTCAGGACCGTGCTATGTGGCATTTCTTGGGGGAGGTGATGATGATGCGACCCCGCAATCGGCGAATTCGTTATCGCGGTTTTTAACATGTGTGCAACAAATTGCCCCGCTTTTCGCGGGTACGTTGATTGATCCATTAGCGCGCTTAATGGTGTGATAGCACTAAGTGCTCTTCGTAAATTTCACAGCACGTGAGCAACTCGGGTTCGATGCCCGCCGTCACCTACGAAATTGTTAGTTGTAATTTTAAGTACCGTTTTGCCATATTTTTTCACTGGCAACGAGTCCATCATCCTCAGGGGTGACATCGTATCTGTATTTTGATTCTTAATCGAGGATAGGTATCTATGAGCCACATCAACCACTTATCATCAGGAGAACTGTGTGCTAGATTGTCGCCCTTATCTTATTAAAAAATCATGTTCCATCCACTCAAAAGGTCGTGAGTTCGAATCCGCCATTCGACTACTGTCGTGAACCACTCCTAACACTTTTTAAACTTACCAGCAGTGGTTAAAGGGAATATTAGTAATTTTATTAGCATTGCTAGTTTTTTTTTTTATAAAAAATAAAAAGGCTACAGGTTCCTTGCTACAACAGATCCGTCCTGCGGAGATCGTGATTTTAACAATTTCAACGTCCACCACTCTGAATAGCTTGGTACAAGAAGGACGATTCATTGGCCCATGCCGAAAATAAAAATTTCTTTTAGCCTCTGATAGAGCCTAAAATAAATCTTTTAGGCTCTATCAGAGGGAACTCAGCGCCGACCATTTCGCAGTGTGTGTGGTCCACGCCGGATGTGCGTTTTACACAGCACTCGCAATATACTTCTCTTACTGAATGTCAATTCGTCGAGTGGATCTGATGAAGTTCCCCCTGTTGTGTTGAAGGTGTGTGCTGCGGATTTGGTACCGCTTCTAACTCATCTTTCCCGTACTTCTTCTCTCCACTTGTAGTATCTAACTCATGGAAAACAGTTTTAGGCCGTCCGCACCTACGGACGATTATAGGCCTTCCAACTTTAGGCCTATCGTTATCACATGCTTGTTATTTAAAATAATGGAGGCCATTATAAACTACCATTTCATGAGGTGTATACCGAATCGTCAACGACCGAGTTCTTTCTGATCAGTTCGATCACTCGATCACTGGCATTGCGAAGAGATGTTGCATCCCTGTGAATTTTTCTATCGCTTTTACTACGCGGTGTACTCGGACACACACCATTTGGATGTTTGGCGGACAACCACTGTAGGATTTACCAGAAGTTTTCTTCCTCGCACTAGTTCTTTGTGGAAGCGGCTACCACCAAAGATTTTCCCGCATTTGTATACGACTTAGGGACTTGTAAAAGGCTGGCAACGCACATGCTATTCTCCCGGTGTTACAGTTGTCCAGGGGCGGCGGGCGGCGGTAATCAATTAACATCAGCTGAACCGCATGCTCGTTTGCTACGTCTCTTATAAAAAATACATGTGTGCTGTTCACACGTGGTAGAAGCGAAACATTCAGAACACTAAACTCCAAGAGAGTGAGACGAATGCAGAGTACAAGTACGGAATTAAAGAGCTTCTGAAAAACTTCCAGTACTGGTTTTCCACCCCCTTTTACAAGCTTCGCTGTAATTCCATCCTCGCCCGGGTCCTAGCCGTTTTAAAGGTAATGGAACTTACTTTTGCGTTACTTACACTTGCATGTGGCTCTAACGATGACGTGTAGAGCTGCCCTTGGAGCCTCTCAATCTCACTCAAAATCTCAGGTATCCCGGAAACGATGCTAACACATGCGGTCTTTAGCTTCGAGAGTTGGCTCTTTCGTGCAGACAGATCTCTGGCAAAGGCTTTGGAGCCTTGGTTCCACACGATCGCTTCTTTAATACAAGCTGTATTGGAGAAGCGGAGATCTGTCTGTTCCTTGTAACTTCATTTACCGTCTAACAGCTAAGAGATTAAGAGCGTGATCGGAAAGTTTTTGGGTTCTTCTGCGACGTATCTTGCAGAACTTAACTCTGACCGCATGGACAGTTTTGCGAACATGCCATTCATGTCGTCCACTGCACTGCAGTCTTCTAGGCACTGAAAACAATTTCGTAACTAAAGCTGAAAGTTTTTGGGGCTTTGGATTAGAGTACGAAGGGGGCCGAAGCATTGACTTCATTGGACGTAATCTCTCCAACTTAACGTTTAGGTCCAGCATGCCTCTCACCATTCGGTAATTGCTACCGGTTTTCACCCGCATAATTACTGAGACATCACTGAACAGTTACCGTTTAGTCGTCAAAATGATGATATTGTTGTAATGATGATGACGATTATAAATGAATTTATTGTTATGGAATAAAGGTGACAAACGGGCACATAATCCACCTGTTGGCAAGTGGACGCTGTAGATCATAGACATCTCTGTCTATCCCCGGTTAAATATAAAAAATGTAGATGCGTTGTCACCCTATACGCAACAGCAACATTGAACTACTATTTTACGTTGGTAATGTGTAAGAACATGGTCCTTCCTCAGTTGAGCTGACCCATGCGTGTTACAGTTATATGGCTGCAGCGTGGCTGTAACACGAATAATACTGACACAGCAAAGCGACCGTGTAAGGCCACTTTTACACCAAGGTCCATGAAACAACCAGGTCGCGCTGTCAGCAACATGTACAGTGCACACAGTTCAAGGGCAGAGTAAAGTAGCACGAATGTATCGGCTCGACCAGGGAAGGACCACGCTCTTAACGAATACCAGTGTAAAATAGTAGCTTAATGCTGCTGTGTTTCGTATTGTGGATGTAGAGAACCGGAGACCCTCTTTACTGGAAACGTGGCATTCATGTTAGTCCTTACCGGTGACAACGCATCTGCATCTTGATTCGTAATCGAGGATAGATGTAGATGTCTATGGGCCACAACAACCACTTACCGTCAGGTGGACTGTGTGATCGCTTGGCACCCTATCCTATAAAAAAAATCGTACGCGTGTACAGAAATTTACCGGCGGCACAACCGCACTTAACTCGTAACCAGTCAAATTAAAGCGTTGCATGGCTTGTCATACAATATACTTGACCTCCAGTGGCCCGGAATGCTAGGTACGAACTGTAGCACATTAGGACCCTAACTCTGATTGAAATCGTGGTTGACTTCGTTTTGACGTTTGGATTCCTTGTAATGTGTACATATTATGTCAGTAGCGATTAAAAGTATTTATATTTTTTATATGTGGCAGGACTCCTCTTCCTAGTAAATCGTCAATGATAAAGACCGCCTTCTTGAAAAGTTTTTTATGTTGTAGGACTCCTTTTTTCTCCTATAAAAAAGTGAATAGTACTAATGTAGCGTTTACGTTACTTAGTTACGTTTACGTAACTTAGAGTTTCTTTCTATTCGCTATAATTGAAAATAAATCTACCGTGCCTCAAAAACATAACGTAGTAAAAACAGTGGCGAAGAAGCTAGGGCTTTAAACTAGGGCAGGCCCAAGATATATTTTTGTTGTTTTAGCAGTTTTATAAAAATACAAGGGTCGCAACAGCCTCTTGGGGTATTTGTTCCCACTCTTCAAGTACCGCATCTTGGAGCTCTTGGTGTGAGCTGGATCTCGAGCTCGCACGTGCCGTTTTAGGTCATCCCAGAGATGTTCTATTGGGTTAAGGTCTGGACTTCGTGCTGGCCAATGCATAACAGGTATATAGACCTCCTGTAAATAACCCCGTACAATAGCTGCGGTGTGGCAACGAGCATTATCATGCATTAACATGAATCCATCACCGACATAACCAGCATACGGGACCACATGTTCCTCCAGGATTTCAGTAATGTACCGACCAGCATTTAATGACCCTTGCCCACGGCCACCCCGAGTCCGGGAAACGCACACAAGTTCTGTTTTCCCGTCGACGGAAATGCCGCCCCAAAACATACACGAGCCACCCCCCCCGTATTCGATGGATTCTTTGAAGCAGGGTTGTGTGAACCTCTCCCCCTGTCTTCTGTAGGCCCTTCCACGTCTGTCATTGCAGAAGAGACATACCCTCGTCTCATCAGAGAAGAGTACGGTCCGCCACTGTTCTAGAGTCCACTCGCAATGATTGCGAGCAAACTCTAGGCGATCTCTGCGATGCTGTGCAGTAAGTTTTGGACCTTTAGCAGGTCTATGGGCTGTTAAACTCTTTTCGTGTAACCTTCTTCTTATCGTAGAAATACTCACAGATGTGCTCCGAGTTGATCGAAGCTGTTGTTGCAACTCAACAGCATTTGTAAAACGGTTTCGTAAAGATGTAACGATGAAACGGTCATCTCTTTCTGATGTGCATCGTTTTCTCCCAGATCCCGAGATTTTCTAACATAACCACCAGTCTGCTGAAAACGTTGGAATACCCGTGGAACTGAAAAACGGGACAGGTTCAACTGTCGAGCAACGTCACACTACCGCATCCCTGACTGCAATAGGGCAATCACTTGAGCGGCTCCTTCAGAGCTGGTGTCCATCTTTACTTGTTCTTACTTGGGTTACTTGTTCACGTATGTTCACTGCAAAGTCTAAATTACGACTGACCCATATTTCATCCAGATCGACCCTTTTATACCCTTTTTAGGTTATGTAACTAGCGTCCTTACTAACGAGCACTTGACAGTGTTTATTTTTGACGCTCTATAATGATAAATGTTTTAATGATTTCATGATTTTTTTATTAATAATGTAAAGCTATTCAAATACCCATTTCAAACATACCAATATTTATATAAATATAATTCTTTTGTAGCCATTACAGCCATTTTTCGCGCAAACTCAGAGAGGTGCGATTTTTGTGACGCTGAGTGTAGTATAATGAAAAGATAAAGCACAATTTTTTACATAAAATAATGACTGTTTATTATATAATTATTCATTTTCAATTTTAATAAACCGTACAAAATGATATTTTTAAGTCATATGGTAATCATTAAATCAGCCGATAGCCGTGTTTGTGCCATCTAGCGTATTCTTTACGTATCACCGTGAGAGTCAATCAATTTTCGTTCGATAAAATGACTTCACCTATAGAATTAAGTAGATGACACTATTAAAATTTTATATACTGAAGGTCTAAAGAATATATTCTTTAAAAACATCAATACATGTACATACATATTCTTTTGATTAATTACATTAAAATTTAGGCTTCACATTAAAAAAAGATTGTAACTATTATTTGCTATAAAATTAAATTTATACCTACCTCATATTTTATGCTGCCGGTCAAAATAATATTTTAAATCATATGGTATTATAAATATTGAATTAATAAACCTTTAAATACGCCTATCTTAATTAAACTTTAATACTAAAGAATCCTGTACCTATTAAAGTATGAAGAAATGTTTATTGAATTAAAATTTAATTTTTAAAGATTTTACTTTTCCTCGCCGATTAGCACTTTAACACACTTCAATTCATCACAAGGGACACTATTGTCCTCCATTTTCACTAAAAAATATAGCATAAGCATAAAATTGCAACTCGCTTTATTCATTGTACATTTTACACACACAGAGTAAACATTGAAATGTGAAGTGAACTTACAAACGTATCGCCCGCGCTTCACTTTCATCAACTTCATACCAAAAGCCCGGCTTAATATGTGCTGTTTTGGTGATATTGAGCGATCTAGATCTCGGTATGTATACCACCTAAGAGTTTGCTATTTAAACACAATAAACTTGGACTTATAATCTTCAAATCAGTCAAAGCGATAACACGATTCCATCAAAAATTCTCGATTTAAAAAAATACGAAAAAACCTCTTTTTCTACTTATTTTGAGTTAGATCTCTGAAACCTTATGGAACTGAATAATGATTTTTAACGTAATAGATAGATTAATAATATTATCTCAAATTGTTAGGATTTTTTTCTCCGTGGTCTTCTCGTTATTAGCAATTATGTGATTTGGCGCTTTCGTTATTTTATTCTAAGCGAGCACACTCTCTGTCTCTTGTTTTGCACGCGGTAGGTAATCAGCCTGCTGCGGCATCTGTTGCGGGACGAACCTGTTTGGCGATGTTACAGAGAGACACTTTCCAGTAGAAGCTGATCTCGCATTGTATAGGCTTTCCGTACAATGAGAGGTCAACTTGTACTAGAAATTTTTGCTTGAGTAGCTATTAGTAAATGAAAGAGGAAATGGGGGCGAAATTAAAATTTGAGCTGAGATAGTATGGGCTCTCAACGCTCTATATTAAATTGCTATGTAAACAATCGTAGTTATATTTCATTATAGAACATTTTGCAACAGGTTAGAAAGGGAGCGATCGTCTTCTCGAAAGCCCGGTAAAAAGCAAATGCGTGCGAGAGAGACGATTAATCGCTCAACTGAACTCTTTGCTTTCATTAATTTTGACAGTCCATTGCGTGTTCGCTTTGAGACAGAGAGAACACGAATCAGTGTATTTAGAATTGAAAGCAATTTGCCAAGTGTAGACGTTACGTAATAAGGCTACGAAGTCATGACCTGTGTAACAGAGGAGCGCGCGGGAAATTTGAAATAGTTTGAAACAGTTTACGAGTTATTTTATTAGTTTATATTATTGATTGAGCAGTTTAATAGAGCAAGCTCGGCTTCTCGGCTTCTATGGAAGCTTCGCCACCGAGTAAAAAAGTAGATTTAACCCGTAAATAAAATATACTTTCAACAGTAAAATTATAAAAGACATGGATTCTATTCGTATATTTCAAAACAGTGGACATTGTGTACCACTTTAACGAATGTTCGGTGATTTAGCCGAATGTTCGGCCGAATACAAATATTGGGAAAAGCTGTCGAATATGTCGAATACTGAATATGAAACGAATATTCGGCCCACCTCTTGTTAATACTATTCAGTATCACAATAAATCTTACACTAATTAAAATAACATCATAATTTTTATTAAAGGTTCTACTGCGCTGCTGTACTCGGCACTGGATACATAGCGTACAGTCAAATGAAACGAAACAAGGCAGAAATGAAAGAAATAATTCAATTAAAAAATTACATGGCGGAACCCATCACACCTCTGTCTGAGCTGGAAAAGAACCAAGATGATATGAAAACACAGATGGAACTGCTTATAATGAGGATACAAGCAGAGTTTTGTAGGGCTCTCGAGAAAGAGGAAGACCAGGTAAGTCGCAAAGAATATAATGCCCTTAAAAGATGAAATTTGTAATGAAATCAGTACCGGGACGAAGTCATTAGGATAATTCTAAGGTTAGGTAGGGTTATATGTTAGTGTGGAACCCACTTAACCTTTTTACTCGACTACCTTACGCCTTTGCTTGTCGGCTACTTTGTGAATTGTAGCATAAACCGTTACAGCCTATTAAAGTCCACTGCTGAACATAGGCCTCCCGCATAGACCCCATACGCCACGTTTGGCAAGCAGGTTGGCAGCCGCAGTTTTCTTTATCGTTATTGAAAAGACTTTGCGGCCTATCTCCTTATTTTTTCCCTCTATCGCCTCTTACTACACCCACGGGATCATATGGGGTATTTAATGTTCTAACACCGCCACTAAACGGAAGTATAAACGGTTTTTGAACGATACGTCAACGCATTAGAATAATGCTGGTATTTCACGCTTATTGTGCGTAATTCTCCCATGGTTACAGCCGACCCAGTTGTGCTGCAGCTATTGTAAAGCCGTAGTTCTCGAAGACCACAAGATCCTTTTGACATTTTCCATAGACGGCACCCAAGATAACCTCAGGATGAAAATAGTGTATTAGACGCCGCCACCATATCACCATCATCTTTCATTACAGCCCTCCTCGAGTCCAGTGCTGAACATTCTCCATGAAATGACACAAAACGGTCCTGAGCTAGTTGCATCCATCGATTTCCTGGCATCGACATCTCTTACCAGCTTGTCACTTTTATTGTTATTTCGATCTACAATCGCTAACCAAGATGAAGCTGACACTCGAGAACCTTGCTTCCCCATCGGTTGTCGGTTCTTCGAGCTATATTGCTGGCCCATCACTACTTCACCTTACTGATCCCTATGATTATGGCTATGTCATCGGTTACTCTGGTGCTAGTGCAGATATCTTCGCATCAAATTCTATCATGCAGATAAACTAAGAGCATAGCCCTCTTCCATAGCTCGTTGAGGTGTAATGAACGCTTCATTTATAGTTGAGATTCACGTCAATTTAAATCATTTTCAAGAACTGTCAAAACAAAATTACGATAGAAGTTATATGGAAATACCAGTACATGACTTCATCTATACATATAAATAAAAGTGTCGTCTGTAATATCGAAAGAACTGCCATATATTAAACTAAGGGGATAATTTACATCCCATTAATAAAAATCTAATTTATTTTTAAATGGTAAATCGACCACTTTTTATACTTTACTAAAAAAGAAATTTAAAATTACATATTAAAAATGTTTTGAATATAAGGATAAGAGGAATAGATGTGTTATGTGTAAATGAGATGAAACGAAAAGGAAAGAATGCCACTACAAATGGCATGTATACCGCGTATTAGTCTGGTGTAGACGAGACCGAGCGGGCATGCCAGGGAGTCGGTTTCATCCTTTCAGAAAGAATGGGTCAATGTGTGAAAGAGTATGAATGTGTAAGACCGAGGTTGCTATACATACGAATGAAAGTGGGCTTAAAAAAGGTGTTTGTGCTAGGGGTGTACGCCCCAGACATGTCTAAGCCCACTTATATCCGAGAGCAGTTTTGAAACATGGTAAGGATGGTGTTGATGAAATGTAAGGAAAATGAAAATATTATGTTAGTAGACTTTAATGGAAGGGTTAAAGTGAAGAGATCTGGTTATGAAAGGATATTGGGAACGTTTGGTGGTGAAAGTATAAATGAGAATGGTGAAGATCTCACCGTATGTGTGGAAAAAAATCTTTCTGTGACGAACACTTTTTTTCGTCATAAGAAGTTTCGCATGTATACATGGGAAAGTGGTGATGATAGAAGCATGATAGATTACATAATTGTGGATGAAAGAATGAGGAGCGCAGTGGTAGATACAAGGGTTTACTGGGGGTCCAACGTAGGGACGGATCATTACTTGATCTTATGTTGGATTAATGATCTATTCAAGCGTTGGCGGCATCGGACATCTGTGTCTACCACTGCGTTGCAGCGTATAAGAGTAGAGAAGTTACAAGATGAAAATGTGAAAGAGAAGTATAAATGTGACGAAGAAGATATTAGGTGTCTGAATTAGTTGTGTATGAATGATTTAGACTTGAATACTGTGTGGGATAATGTTAAGGAAGGTATGGTGGATGCAGCCACCGAAGTATGTGAACAAATGAAAGGAAAAAGAATACTTTGTGGTGGGATAATGAGGTACGGGTGGAAGTTGAAGCAAAGAAGAGAGCATGGTTAGATTTACTAGCAACCAAAGCTGGTAATTCGGGCGGTATGAATGATGAGATTGAACGAAAAGGGGAGAATTTGGACGTATAAATAAGAGAGTAAAAGTAGTAGTTAAAAGGAAAAAGCAAAAAAAACGGATAAGAATGATAGAAGGATATCTGATAACTTCCAGGCAACGACTACACAGCCCGAATAGACGCCTAATGTATGTATTTCTGCATTCAAACCTGTCTGTCAAAAGTCTGAGGTAAGCGGTACGAGGAAGGCGGGTTGAAATGCACGCTAATTGGTTAAAATCAAGGTTGCGACACTTGCTAATAAGCAAATAGTGTTGGGAACTTTAACTTATAAATTTGGTACCAAGTCTACTTAATCAGTACCAGAATTATATTCTACTATAAATTAGTACAAAATAAAAAAAAACAAAAGAAGTTTTATTTAAGTAGGTATCGTATTTAGTAAAATACTTATATTTTTTTGTTTTGAAGAATATTTTTATTAAAACAAGCTTTCTTTACAATATTGAAATAATAATTGAATACTATTAAAAATAAAATAGCAACAGTTATTTAAACTGTCAAGTTCACTTCCGTTTCCTACTTGTCTTGACATGGCGTCTTAGCAGTAAAGAGAGCGGAGTGCCGTCTATTAAAAATTATATCAATTTTATTATGATTTATTTTTAAGAATTTTTGAATAATTTGATTGAATTATTAAATCAATTAATTCAAATATGGATTAATGTACATTCACTTAAAAAATTCAGCTTACACCTGTCGCTTATAGTATAAGTCTGTAAAACATTCACAATAACATGCATAATATTTACTTGTACCAATATTATAGTTTAACTGGTACAGTACTAGTTACACGTACCGGTAATTAAAGAAAAGTATAGCAACAATGAACTGCATTGAAAAGAAAGGGATGCATAGTCCGAAAATATCCGAAGATGTCCGAATATATCGACGCGAGTTGCTTGTGACAAATATAGGTTGAGCTCTGATTTAATTTTAATTAATGAATTTGGAAATTAAAATTCACTTATCTATGAAAAGTGATGCCATTTTTTTTGTCGAAATTACAAATTTGGATACTATTTACGCACTATTTTATTGTACAGGGAACCATGTTGCGCGTCTGTTGTATATTATTTTGTCGAAAATTCACGATTCACATGCAAAATGTTCACGGGTCAGGGAAGTGGTCGCTACTAAAGTAGATCGCGCGATCGTTTTCTTAAGTAAGACGTATTTGTCTGACGTGTTGACCGAAAGTGTTCGCCTCTCATGAGGCGTCTATTCGGGCTGTGTAGTCGTTGCTTCCAGGTAAATATTAAAATGTTCTGGAAACTCGTACGAACGGCCAGGGTAATTTCAAAACAGCCTAGAATGAATGTTTTACGCGACGAAAACGGATGTATTCTGAGTGACGAAGTTTCGAATTTAAAGAGATGGAAGGAATACTTTGAAAGCGTGTTTATGAGTGGAAGAGTCGTCTAAATTAAATGAACTAGAAATTCCGAATGAAGTGGAAAGAAGTATGGAGATACGTGTAGATGAAATAACGAAAGCAATGAAAAGCATGAAAGCAGGTAAGGAAGGATATGATAGAGTACCACTCGAGATGCTAAGAGCTGGAGAGGGAGTGGTGGCGGGCCTGCTGTACACCTTGTTTAATTTATGTTGGGAATTTAAGCAGGTACCGGAAGATTGGTGTAAAGCAGTTATAGTTCCAATATATAAAGGAAAAGGGTGTGACCCTTTTCCTGGGTCAGGAAGGCAGGACTGCAAAAACTACTGTGGTATCAGCTTGCTTAGTACTGTGGGTAAACTGTATGCTAAGGTGTCCATTGAAAGAGTTGTGAAAGATACTGATGGAAAAATTTGGAATATGCAAGCGGGATTTAGAAAGGGAATGGGATGTACAGATTAAGTCTTTTCCATGCGTATGATTTTGGAGAAGTTTTTGGCCAAAAACCAGAAAGTTTTTTGTGCGTTCATGGACTTGGAAAAGGCTTATGACAGAGTATACAGGACTGTGCTATGACAAACACTGAACGAACTCATTTGGGTTGAGCGCTGGTGTGATTCAGGCATTAAGGTCTCTTTATAGGGACTCTAGTGCTTGTTCACACAATCTACTCTGACTGGTTTGGGGTGTCAGACAGGGCTGTGTAGCTTCCTCGTGGCTGTTCAACCTTTTTATGGACAGTTGTTTGCAAACTTTGAAAGATGAAGAATGTGGGTTAAAAATGGGTAAGTTAACCGTTAAATGCCTTTTGTACGCCGATGATCAAGTCATCTTTGCGTCGTCGGCGGCTGAGTTGCAAATGATTGTTGCATTAATGAATTCGGGGGTAATTGTTTTTTTGGGGGGGGGGGGGGGGGGGGGGAGGGGAGTAGGGTGGGAGGCCCCTGGGTTTGGTTTTTTTTGGGTTTTGTTTGGGGGGGTCGTTGGCTGGTTTGGCATCAGGTGTGGGCGGGGCTGTGTGGTTCCGTGTTTTCACCTTTGGGGGTCTGGGCATTAAAAGAAAGGGGAATGAAAGTGAACGGAGGTAAGACGAAAGTGATGGTTTTTGAAAGAGAAGAAAGTAAAACGTTGTGTGAAATAAGAATGGAAGGGGAGTTGATTGAGCAAGTGGATGAGTTCGTATATTTGGGATGTGTATTTAACAGGGATTGTAGATATGATAAGGATATAGAACGAAGAGTAAATGCAGGAAATATAGTGAAGACTCTACACTTTATTACGAAGAATCAGAATGTGTCATAAAAGGCACGTTTGGTAATTCATAATGCTGTGTTAATCCTTACTTTAATTTATGGTAGTGAAAATTGGTGTGGCAGACGAAGCATGGAAGTAGAATAAATGCTGTAAAGATGCGGTCTTTAAGGAGTATGCTAGGGTTGAATCTGAATGACAGGGTGTGAAATTGTGTGATAAGAGAAAAATGTGGTGTGCAAGATAATGTTGTGACCAGGATTAAGAAAGGAATGCTTCGGTGGTTTGGTCATGTAGAAAGAATAAATGAGGAAAGAGTGACAAAGCAAATTTACATGGCATATGTGAACGGCGGAGTCGGGAAGGGACCCCACAGACGAAAGTTTATCGAGCATTTGACGATATTTTGAAAATTGGCCGCATTAGAAGTTCATATGCGTAGATATATGGATGTAAAAGAGGCGAAGGAGGTATGTCAGGATCGTGCCAAATGAAAGTCCGTAGTCTCTGCCTACCCCTCTGGGTGACAGGCGTCAGTGTTTATGTGTATGTTGAATATAATTTGACTTTGAATTATGGAAAGTGTAGGGGTAACGTAGGCGCTATAAGCTGCTCACTTAAAATTACTTCAATCACCGCCGGTACTAAATAAATTGTTAATTTGCAATTACAAGCGATGATTTACCATATATTAGTCGCTGAAGTGAATGCAGGTTGCAGAAGAATACCCTGTGAATGAAGGTTGAATGTCTGAAAAATAATATATTTCAAGGTCATGTGAAATGAAGTGATGAGATATAGATCTAAGACGTGGTCCCTCCCTTCTGGTCGTGTGAGGAAGCTCAAGGTCACTCAGTGAGCTATCGAGAGCGCTATATTCGATGTTTCTCTGCGTGATAGACTTACAAATGAGGACATCTGCAGTAGATCCGTAGTGTAATCGACATAGCACAACGAATAAGTAAACTGAAGTTACAATGGACTGGCCATATAGCCCGAAAAACAGTTAACCGATGGTTAATAAAGGTTCTCGAGTGGCAGCCTCGTACTGGTAGTGGAAGGGTCCCCCACTAGATGGAGTGACGACTTGGTAATACATGCAAGAAATTGAGGGATGCAGGTGACTCAAAACCGTGCTTTGTGGCATCCTTGGGGAGGCTTATGTTCAGCAATGGACTTGTGAAGGGCTGTAATGATAGTGAGATACTAGCAGCATGACTACCACATTGAAATCATTTATGGCAGGCGTAAAATATCTGGACTTGCGGCAGGAGGTTCCTCTGGTGCTGCAGTCGTCAATCCGGCAGCTAAGCGTGACGCTTGTTCCAAATTTGCTTCTATTTCTTATCACTTATACGTGGTAGTCATGCTGCAGCTATATTATAATTGTAGCACAAATAGTGCGGTAGATAGGTTGACGACATGGTAAGATATGCAGGAAGTAAATGGATACAGGTGGCTTAGGACCGTGCTTTGTGGCATTCCTTGGACATTAATTATGTGAAGTCTACCAATATCAACAGTACGTGGTAGAGCCATGCTGCAGTTATATTAGTAGTATAATTGTAGTACGAATGGGTCGGCTCGACCGGGGAAGAATCACGCTCTCACGGAATACCAGCGTAAAATAGTAGCTTAATGTGTTTCATATGGTGAGTGTAGAAAACCGGAGACCCCTTCTACTGGAAACGAGACATTCCATCTTAGTCCTCACGAGTGACAACGTATCTGCATTTTGATTCGTAATCGAGGATACATGTAGATGTCTATGGGCCACAGGAACCACTTACCATCAGGTGGACTGTGTGCTCGTTTGTCACTATATCCTATAAAAAAATTACTGGAGCAGCGAGCCGGACTAACTACTACATGACTCTCTAAAAAATGCAGGCACCTGTGCCCAAAGGTGGGACGTATGTAAGTTACATATTTTTAATGAGAACAGAATTTATACCTACAGGATATGTTTCTCTTGTAGGCATGGGAGGACGAAAAGACCGCTGATGATTATGATTTTGACAACGATGTATTTTTGCCATCACCGGTACGAACTTTTTACTTGCCTAATGTTAAACTAAACGTAGTTTTATTGTCATAAACATGGTTTCGAGTTTCTGCAATCTAATATGAATTTCCGACCTAGTCGTAGTCGATCCTCTGCAACAGAAGGCACCTCATGTCCAAGAGTGGGCTTTTGCGATAAAGAAAAAGTACTTAATGGAAAGATTTGCATTCGCATTTCATGCAGTAATTTTTTTTAGGTACTTTAACTGATTTACAAAAAGATTGTACTTCGTATGCATACAGGGCAGGGCATAGTTGAACTTGATTATGTTTATGTAGCTAACATCTATGTACTCGTAGTCGTGATTCTGATTCTGATAGAGCCGTTGTAGCTCAGACGTAAATATCGCCATATATTTCATAGTACTCCACCGACCTGAGTTCGATCCCCCTGTGCTGACTTACAACGTGCTCAATCATGTGTAAAACACTTCCGTATGATCTAATATTTTCTCAATATTTTTGAGACATCTACATATCATCGGATGGACTGTATGCTCGTTTGACTACCTTTACTTATAACTAAGATATTTCGCACTTTTGACATTGCTTACTCAAACAAATTGAGTTTACAAAATCGTTTCACTCCAAGATTTAAAACGATTCCAGGAGGCAAAGTTCAAAGTGGATAGGTGGACCAGAAAGGAGGGGGGTGGGGGGATAACATGCGTGCTGCAGGACGGGCGCGTGTTCGAAAAGGCCGGCGTCAACATCTCCGTGGTGCATGGCAAGCTGCCGCCGGCAGCCGTGCAACAGATGCGGAGCAGGTACCGTGTAGCGTTTAATGTAAATGACCTCCAGACTTATGATTGTTATTTTGTTATTAAACTGACTTTTATTGAAGTGAAAACTTTTTAGCATCGTTGTGATTTGAAAGTCTATGAAACGAAAAAGCGTCAGTTAAAAGAGACAGACACATAAGTTAATAAGATTTAACGTGAAGGAAAATGAGAGTAGGAAGCATTATAGTGTTTCTGTGAGAATGGTCTGTAATTTCAAACTATTTGAATTTGGTAGAAAAAATATAATATAGTATAAACTCGTTTGTTTATATTGATATAAACTGTGTTCGTGTTAAGACGACACATCGAAAATGAACGTTTAAAATGGCTCCGGCCTATCGCCGTACTGATCCGAGTGAATACATAATTTCTATAAAAACTTAAAAAACGCCGCCGTAAGTTCTAAAATTGCGTAGCGCCCGTGACTATTAAGACCGTTTAGAAATTGACAGAATCTTAAATTATTTTAAAAAAATTGTTTTAAGTGATCAAGATATTGAGCAAGTAAATTACAAATATTGATGTTATGAATATATGTATTTGAGTGATTCCCAAGCATATAGATTAAGTAATTTCGTTGTAATTTCAACTATAGAGATTTTTGGAGGTGTTTTCGCAAATAATTATGATCGAGTCAAAATTATACAATCGTGTTTTTGAACAAGCAAATTCAAAATAAAGACATGAATTTACCTATATTAAAATTCCAGTTTCTCTACTATTCGACTTTCATTACTATTCGATGAAAGGACGTGCATTTTTTCGCAGTGTTGCCTTAAAATGTTTAAAAATTCGTGATTTCATAAATTTAGGCCATCTAGCGTCTATTTTACGTACCACCTTGTAATATAGTAGGTGGCGCTATTATAATTTTACTCGAAAGAAAATATAATATCTACGTGTCTAATAATATATATTAATTGATTGCGATTTGAGGATTGCTAAATTTATTTACTATAAAATTAAATTTTCTTATATTTTATGCTGAACTTGTAGTTTAAATTATAATATTAAATAAATCATTTGCCGTAGGTATGTATAAAATACAAATACTTTATGTATGTACATACATAAAGTATTTGTATTTTATATTTCATTTAATTTGAAGGTTTCACTTCCGTTGCGTGTGAGCTGCATGCATGTTTTATTTTATTTTATTTGACTGTTTTTAGTCCCGCTGGGTTTGTTGCTGGTTCTTCCCAGGACAGAGGTATTTTTCCCATCCAGTTGTAAATTAAATTTAAATTAAAATGACTTCCAATAAATATTATTTATAATCTATATTGAATGAAAAAGTTTCTGTTTGCGTTTCTTAAGTCCGTTCACGGCGGCAAATCTCAACGGCGAGAAGCCATATGCGCAGAACCGAATATATTAAGTATTAGACTTATTCGGCTACTTTTATCATATTCGGTCGAATTTCGAATATCTAGGTACTATTCAGTCGAATACCGAATACTTAAGTGAGAGGTTTTATTGTGACAGATAATTGGTAAAATGAAAATATTTATTTATTTTATAATTTATTTTTTCTTGTAATCATTAGTAATCATAGGTACATAACTATACTATATCTACTATAACTACTTCTATATTATAGAAATTAAAAGAGAATTATCAGATAAATGTCTATGCACTCGCATCATCGTAATTTAAGTTGAAGATAAGGGTTCGGAAAAACTATTTTTTCTTCTTTTTCAGGCATTGGTTTACTCCTTTCCTTTCAATTTTTTTCTCATAGCTATGCCAGATTCAGAGAATAGACGCTCTGAAGAATAAACACTACTTCCATCCCGGTCGAATATTTTTGCCTAATATTCCGCTAGGTATTAGGCCGGGAAGTTCGCAGAATAATCCAGTATTAGGGTGTGGTTGAATATACTATTCGTTGCAAGTCTAATTAGAACAGAATTTCTTAATTTTGCAAATATGGATAATACAGAATGTATTGCAAGCAAAAATTATAATTAATTAGCTTAATTTTACAAGATAGGATTATAGTACCTCACTTTCATGGTCCTATGGGACGGTAATCCGATACGATCGTGGAGAGATCAGCCGCCGGGCTAACTGCTTTACGTACTTTCCAAAGCACTAAGAATTTATTTCCTGAGCCCAATAACAGATTTTAGCCTGATCCAGGATTTGAATCCGGGACCACATAATAAGCAGTCGTGCTAACGACCACTAGACCAATGAGTCAGGGAAACCGTATAGTGTATATACATGTGCAATAAGCAGCAGCACTTCTGTTATTTTACTTGTAAACTTATTTGTGATAGAATCTTAGAGCGAGTTTATCACTTCTCCGCTTGCATAAAAAACACGTACATACCTATAAACCATTTTTGACAGATAATTTCTGATATAATAATATAATACTTTTAAATAACTGTACTTCAATAAATTATCAATCAGAAATATAACATTACAAACAGTAGACCCTCTTTACAATACGATGCATAGCCAGTGGTAGCCCAGTGGCTTACACTTGTACATGCAGCGCAGGACGATACACTCCTGACCGCCAGTGACGTGGACCAATCAGAATTCTAGAAAGAGACAACTACTGGCCGCACATTCGCTTTGTCACTCTCACACTTTTCGGTCTGTATTCACTGCACAACTGAATACGGAATGCACAGTCCATTCTCTCTATGTCTACTGATTTACAAGGCGGTAGGCATCACATCTTAGTCCTCAGAGCATCGCATTTGTAGTCTACTTTGTTTAAAGTCGGGTGCAGGTGTCTTGAACTACAATAGACACTTAACGTCAGGTGAACACAACATTTTGCAAAAAATTACATACATTTTGTAAAAAAAGTGATTGTAGTTTGTGATCGATAAGTAGGTACCATCCAGTGTTGCCAACGTGACGGGTTTCCCGTTAGATGACGGGACAGCGAGGTTGTCAACGGGAAAAAAATGTGTTTAACGGCTAACGGATTTTTAAACGGGACAAAATAAATTTATGTTTTTTAGATTTGTTTTCGAAATAAAAATAATTTGGAAATGGCAAAATTTAAATTATAATTTTATTCATTTTTTTTAGTTTAAAAATACGAATGAATGTGCAATATATTCTTATCTTCTTATCTAAAGTTGAGAGAGTAAATTTTCATTTGACATAATTCTTTTAAATACAGCTCGGAAACTGTTTTGTCGTTGGTCGGCCAAATTGATGCGCTACTATTAAGGGCAAATATAACCTCAAATGGCTTAGCAAAATCCTCCGTTATGCCGAAAATATTGCAGCATTAATTTTGAAATAAATATATGGTAAAGTTGGGGATTAATGTTAAGGCTACTATGTTAGACGAAAAAACGATTCCGTAATATTTTCTCGATAGAAAAAAAACCAAAGTTACCTCCAAAACTGAATAATAAACAGCTGTTATTCATAAAATACTTTAAATAAGATCATGAAACTTTGCATACTAACTGAACTAACTATAAAGCAGTGCTTATGTTATTAACTTTTTTTTAAATACCATTATTTTCACTGTAAAAAGATATTACCTAAACTATCGGCGTCTTGAAGCTTGATTCCTGCCACGCGGTTAGTATCGCTTTGGCTTTTGAAGGGGGAAGTTGTATCGCTTACGATCAGAATACACTTTACGCAACAGGACGACGTAAAATAAAATGGGAAATAACCGTTATAAAAATAAGAAGCGACTGGGTTGGCGTTAAGAAACAGGCATAAATATGATAAACCTAATGAAATAAGTATCTAACGACCTATCTACTTACAGTATTAGTGATTACAAACATGTCGGTACATAGCATACGACGTGCGGGGAAGTGGGGGCGAAATTAGAATTTGAGCTGACTTACTATATCCCCTTAATATATAGAAAACTATCAACTACTCTATTTATTTCATTCTCTCTCTTTACTGTTTGAGTGGCACATCCTGTGAACCTGTGATATTCTTGAAAGTCAACAAGTTTTTGTGCGATAAAATGACTTTATTACCATGTATATGCATGTAGTAGATGGCACTATTACAAATCTCAAATAGAAAATGTTCGGTTCCCAATGGATCTCACAGACTCACAAAGAGTACTGGAGCCCGAAGTGATCCATTTGAATGGTCGATCCCCTGATACCAGTACGCGTGACGAAATGTACTAAAATGATTCGGTCACTAGAAATGAATTATTGACACTTGTCTACCGTACTTGCCGGGATTTGACATGATTATAGTGTTCTCTACCACGGGAGCTAGATTTTAATGTTGGCAACACTGGTACCATCACCACCAAGCAACAGTGTACCTCCTGTCTTGTTCCAGTTTTAAGAGAAGAGAAGACAGACTCAGCTATGAGGCTTTCTGTCCTGATCCTAAGTTGTAAGCCTTTAAAATTGAATTGAATAGAATAATTTGTATTTAATATAGGTTACAAGAATGCTTATTGAAAGTCATTTACGCTTTTACTACTGGTTTGGAAAGAAACTTCTGCCTTGGGAAGAATCAGGAAGAAACCCAGCGGGAATTTTTTTAAATATTAATTTACAATATAATATGTGTAGTGTTATGTTATACAATCCCGAGACGGGCCATAATCAGTTATTCTATTTGGTATTTAATTTTTTTGCACATTTTTAGCTATTTTTTTTGCACATTTTTCTACTTATAGGAACATTTCTAATCTAATTAATATAAAATAGAAATGATATTACAGAAAGTAAGTTGAACCCTCACCTACATTAAATAAGTCAAATATTACACCTTATACTTCAGTGGTGCCGCACTGATGGCATAAAAAGTCGTGAATGTCGCTGTATCATAATATCTGTTTCCGACCTTTGAGAAAGGAGTAGTTATGAAAGGAGTACTCTTGAGTAAATATAATGGATGCAGGTAGTTCCACGTAATGTTATGTGTAGGGAGCAATATGCTTATATCTAATAATGCTTGTATCTAATGGTAGTGTAATATTATAAAATATAATATAATATAAATAATGTTTTATCTTAACAGAGGAAAGAACCTACAGTCATCAGAGCTGCCGTTCTTCGCAGCGGGCGTGAGTGCAGTCATCCACCCCAGGAACCCAATGGTCCCCACCATACACTTCAACTACCGCTACTTTGAAGTGCAGGATAAAGATGGTAAGAAAGTAACCGCACATATTTATAAATTCTTACATTACGATCCCTTTATTTTCATTAAACTGTGCAGCATTCCATTTTAATCTCCAGGACAAGTTTCAATTTTCTATCAAGTGGTAGAGCAATGTTACAGCTATATTATGATTGTAGTACGAATAGGTCGATTTGCGTCGGAGAAGGACCACGCTCTCATATAATACCAACGTGAAATAGCAGCTTAATGCTGCTGTGTATTATGTGCTGAGTGTAGAGAAACGAGGACCCTTTTGACCGGAAACGAGGCATTCCATCTCAGTCCTCAGAGGTGGAAATGCATCGCGGCAGTTTGATTCTTAATTGAGGATACATTTCTATGGGCCACAGTGTCCAGTTACCATCAGGTGGACTGTGTGCTCATTTGTCACCCTTATTCTATAAAAAAGGTAAACTGTGTGATCGCATATCACCCTTACTTCTATTAAAAATACGCTATTTTAAATTATGTAAAAAATATGCTTGGTTTCTTGTTTTAGGTGTACAGTGGTGGTTCGGCGGTGGCACAGATTTAACCCCATACTACTTGAGTGAAGAAGACGCCGTACATTTCCACCTCACCCTCAAGCACGCTTGCGACGCACACGACCCCTCTTACTACCCTAAGTGAGTCGCTTATGAAGTTAATATTATTTAAAAAATACTATCAAACTGAATTCGGGTGTGTTATTATCATGATTACATTTTGTTACAAGTTTGCTTCAGGACATAGGTCTACCCTATAGATAATTACAATCTACACCCTTGAACCACCTTCATCCATCAACTCGATAATTTTTTTCGGAACCTATACGACTTAGGGACCTTCAAGAAACGAGCTAACTTCTTTTTTATAAGCTGGCAACGCACCTGCAATTCCGCTGATGTTGTGTGCGTCAGTCACTTACCATCAGGTGAGCCGAATGATCGGTTGCCCCAACGTCTATAAAAGAACTCCCTGCGTGTCTCACCGGATCCATCCAAAATAATGTACCACTTACCATCAGGTGCGATTGTAGTCATATTCAGCATGGATGAACTACGGCTTGAATTGAATGCAAATTCGAAATCAATTTCGATCATCGTCAGTCGAGTTTTCAAAAATAATTATATTTACCCTGTAAAAAGTCTTAATTTGGTGTGAAACTTGTTGTGCCAACTACCGGAAAGAGCAGAACAACGTTTGCTGGGTCAGCTAGTACTAGAACATGCATATGCCATCATCTCTTCAAGATTCAATTAATCATCTGATTTCACTCACTTTCATCTATATTATGGTTGTAGCATGAATTGGTCGACTCGACCGGGGAAAGACCACGCTCTCACAAAATGCCAACGTCAAATAACAGCTTAATGCTGCTATGTTTCGTATGGCTCGTTTAGAGAACAGGATTCCCTTTTCACTGGAAACGAGGTATTCCATCATAATTCTCAGGGGTGGCAACGCGTGTGGGTTTTGATTATCAATCGAGGTTTAATGTAGTATATGAGCCACAGCATCCGCTTACCATCAGATGGACTGATTGCACGTTTGTCCCACTTGCTCAATAAAAAATAATATTTTCAAGATTCAAAAAATGGTGTGACGACTATTTCACAATAACGCATCGCGGTGAACGGCGAGGAGTTGGAGGTATCTTCTTCGACGACGTGGACTATCCTAGTCAGCAAGAGGCGTTCGAGTTTGTAACCTCTTGTGCTGAGGCCGTCATACCCAGCTATATACCTCTTGGTGAGTTCTTGTATCGTGCCTAGCGAAGAGAATCTTCTGCCTAATATAATGTCACCTCAAACCTTTAAGGAAGAGATCAACTATTATATAAATTTTATATATAAGATATTTCCTCCAAATATTCTGTATATTGATCTTGTAGTGGCGGTGTAAGAATACCCACTACCTCATATCATCCCGTGGGTATCGTAAGAGGCGGCAGAGGAATCTGGAACTAAAGATGGGTACAGCGTCATCGTATAACAACCAAAAATATAAATAAAATCCTTCCTGCGCCTGATACCTCATGACAGACTCATAGTATTAAACGGAGTGTATGACGGCCCCTCAATAGATGGAGTCTGGACCTGGTAAGACATGTAGTGGTTTGATTGGTACCGGTAGCTCAGGACCGTGTCTTGTGGCATTTCTTGAGGCAGATTATGTTCAGCAGTAGACTTGTAAGAGGCTCGGCAATATGCAGCAGCTGTATGTATTATTATGGTTGTTGTGGCCTGCAGGCAACTACATTCATTATATTCTACGATTAAGGATAAAAATTACTAAGATTATTTTTACTAGGTGTATGTTAAACTCGTATTCTGCCCAGGAGTGCGTCTTTGGTACCACCTTCTTTTCTAGCAGCGCCTGTACTGCTGTGGTCCGGTCAGAAGGGTATGGAGAGCCAGTAGCTACAGGCTGTGAGGCAGTCCGTCTGAGTCCTCAGAGGTGACAACGCATTTGAAGCCTTGTTTGTTTGAAATTGGCTGCAACATCCATGGACTGCACCAGTTACCATCGACAGCAAGTTCATTAGTAACTCCATTTTTATATAAAAAAGTATAGAATTCCTCGCTACCTGTAAAAAGTCTTCGGTTCTCTTTACTCACCATATAACACACCGCCTTATTAAGCTGCCATGTTACGCTGGTATTCTGTGAGATAAACTTACTCAACGATGTAAAATGCGTAATCTGAATTAAAAATACCGAGATAAAAGTAAGCTAAGTATATTAAGTATAGTGTAATAAGTGTAGTAAGTTTCTTCATTGCACATCATAAACGAACTCGCAATACCATCCATACCATCTGGATGCTTGGCAGTTTTCTTCTTCGCACAACTTCTTTGCGGAATCGGCTACTAGTGTATCCTCGATTACGAATCAAAACGCAAATGCCTTATCACCTAGGGAGGACTAAGATAGAATGCCTCGTTTCCAGTAAAAAGAGTCTCCGGTTCTCTACACTCACCATACGAAACACAGCAGCATTAAGCTACTTTTTTACGCTGGTATACTGTGAGAGCGTTGTCCATCCCCAGTCGAGCCCATTCATGCTACAACGATAATATAGCTGCAGCGTGACTCATAACATGCCGTTATCCTCAGTGCAACGGCACAAGGACGACGCGTATGGCTACCATGAACGCCAGTGGCAGCTCCTGCGTAGGGGCAGATACGTGGAGTTCAACTTGATCTACGACCGCGGCACCAAGTTCGGCCTACACACGCCCGAAGCCCGATACGAGTCTATACTTATGTCCCTGCCACTGAACGCGGTGAGTGTTACGCCAATAATATTAGTTTGAAAAAACTTAACACCCATTGATCTTGGGATGTGAACATCGTAGTGAGAACACTGGGTCATAGTCATTAAATTATTGTATTATCTTTGATACAAGTGTAAATTTTCAAGTCAGTTGGCCGTCTTATACGAGAAATTGGTCACAATTACATTAGAAGATTCCATTACATAGATACACGCGAAGTTCATAAAGCGTTCATAACAAATGGACAACTATCGTAGGGGTGATCGAAATTCATCGATGGTGGATAAACATAGATATTTAGAGGGAAAAAAACGATGTTAAGTCCTCGGAAACATCGACACAATGATGTTACGAGAATAATATCGAGACATCGATATATTTTAGGTATAGGCATACAACATCTTGAGTGACCATATCAATATTAAAAATCTTTTATGTTTAAATATATAGATTGACTTGGCTTGATCTTACCTAGCAATCTAATTTAATATCATACGTATTAACTGTGAGATACATTGTGGTTTCATACGATGGCCAAGTCAATTTATTTATTTAAAACATAAAAGATTTCTAACATTGATATGGTTACTCTAAGATGTTGTCAGATAAGCTAATTACGTAATAACTTAAAACAGAAGGACCCTAAAGTAGGGACTGAATATATTAACCGACTTGGGATTACATGGATCTCACAACTTTTTAAGGTAGTAGAACAGTTGCGAGACTTGTTTTTTTTTTACAAGTTATGTTTCTGATGTCATATTAATTTACTTACAGTTACATTTAAGTACCAACAAATACATTTAAGAAATAAAGTGATCCCGAATTGTTTATTATCCACCTGAAACATTGATGTTTTCGGAATCGATATTTTCCTTTCGATATTTATCGTACATATATAAATATTTATAAACATAAGTACTTTTCAATCAATGTTAACATCGATGTTTTTCTAATATCCATCAACCCTATACCAGGGCCGTCCCCGACATAGGAAGAGGCCTGAATGTTGAGGATCCGACGCAGGTTTAAAAATAATTATATTGTTTATAATGTTTTGATAAATTTCAACAAAATTGGTAATATTAGATATAATTTCAGAAGTAGACCACATTTTGTTGCAGTTTTTAATATGCTTTATTTTATATAAAGAAAAATACGAGAAAGCTAAAATTTAAATAAAATTTTAAATGCGTTTCAAAAACATTAAATAAAATAAAATAAACCATTTATTGTTTATACCTTCATACTGCCAATGTCTCTAACACATAATGATGAAAAGAAATATGGTAATAAATTTTCTTAAGCTGCTACCACCACCACACGGCAATCAGCCGCATCTGATATAGATATTAATTATTTTCTCAAAATTACTGATATTTGATGGATAGATTACGGTAAGACATAATGACGATTACTATATTTCCGGTCTTTAGCCAGTATAATAGCCGTAGCCTTCTTTGTTTGAAGTTGTTTGCAGGTGTCCGGGCTGCAGTACCATCCCTTAGGCACCTGCAATCTTACCTTCTGGTGCAATGTTAGTTTTTTGTAACTTCAGTTTCAAAAAGATTAAGGAGCAAAACGTCAAATCATTACGCGGTTGACTAACTGTTAACTTTTTATTGGTCATATGAGGTGATTGCATTAAAATATATTTTACAGAAATGGGAATACATGCACGAGCCGAAGCAGAATTCACCTGAAGAGAAACTTATGAAGGTCCTCAAAGAGCCGAGAGATTGGCTCAACATCGAGAGGAATAAGCGTGCCGCTGCATAACTTGATAACATATTTTACTTTAAATAAGTTTTACTACGTTTGGAGAGGGTATTTTTATAATATTTAAAATCTTTTATTAATATACACATTACTGTTGCTAAAGTTTTTTTATTTGTATTACCTTCATAGTGGTAAGGGCGTGGGGGTTCATGACCCAGGGTGGCAATTTTTTATGGGTGACATTTTGGGGAAACAATCATTAAATAAAACTAAATTTACGGATTTTATCGCGTTTATTTCACTAGTATGCGACTCAAACAGTAAAGAGACAGAATAAAATAAATAGATAGTTTTCTATATATTCAACAGTAGCGCATCATTTTGGCTGACCAACGGCAAAACAGTTTCCGAGCTGTATTTAAAAGAATTAAGTCAAATGAAAATTTACTCTCTCAACTTTTAAAGATAAGAATGTATTGCACATTTTTTCGTGTTTTTAAATAAAAGAAATGAATAAAATTATAATTTAATTTTTGCCATTTCCTAATTATTTTTATTTCGAAAACAAATCTAAAAAAACATAAATTTTTGTTGGCCCGTTAAAAATCCGTTAGCCAATTTTTTTCCCGTTGCCATCCTCGCTGTCCCGTCAAATCTAACGGGAAACCCGTCATTTGCAATACTGTTTGTATTTGATATTACATAGTATTTATTGCCATGTGTTATTTTCAAATTTCATCGGTAAGTGTCAGATATATCATGAAAGTCACACAGTATATTAGACTAAGCCAGTGATTCCCAAAGTGGTCTATATCGACCCAAGGGGTCTATGACACCTGCAAGGGGTCTACGTCAGCGAAAAAAAATTTGGGGGTCCATGAAATGAAAATGGGGGTCCACGATAGTGGATCTCAACACATACACTGATAGTACCTATTTACTTACATCATACTATCTTATAATATCAAAACATATACACTATTTATAAAAGTACCTGTGATGTAAAAAAATTATTATATATGTTTATAAAATTGTGTAAGTTGTAGGATGTCGGTATTCGCTTTGTGGTCGCAATAAATTTTGAACTTGTAAAAACCTGAAAGTCGCAGTCTCAGAGCTTCGCTACCTTGCACTGACTTGTTCAATTCGTCACTCTATAAATACGAATGTGGGACAAATACGTTTATTTTAGTTTTAATTTAAAGTCAATTAATAAATGTATAAATAAACATGTGTTTTTACTTTAAGTTTTTAACACTAAACTCCACTACAGTTAGAAATTCACAGGAAATCAATATCAGGTAAGGGGGGGGGGTCTACTCAACACGGAAAAACATGGCATCTACGATACAAAAAAGTTTGAGGAACTCTGGACTAAGCTTTGTTACAGAATAGGGCAGAAGTAAGGAAGACTATTTCATATGGGAACAAGATGGATAAGTGTCCAGCTGTAAGCTGTAAATAACAGTCCCTTAACCTTCCAGAGAGGTCTAGCACCTCTCTGGAAGGTTATGGAACTAGGGAGTTTGGGCGTGGGTGCGCTGTGAGTGATTCTCCGTCACCGGGGGCGCTGCTACTCTCCGGGGTAGTGTTATATTTAACTCCAGTTTCATGTTAAGGGGGGGAGGGAATTGGGCCTCCGGCCACCTACACTCACCAGACGAAATACAGAAGCAATGCTTCTACTTCACGCCAGTCTTCTGTGAGGTCTTGGTACCACCACGGTTTGAGCCGGGACGTGCGTGCAACAGCAAATGTTGCACGCACGGCTCAAATACCTCACAGAAGACTGTCGTGAAGTAGAAGCATTGCTTCTGTATTTCGTCTGGTGAGTGCAGGTGGCCGGAGGCCCAATTCCCTCCCCCCCCTTAACATGAAAGTGGAGTTAAATATAACACTACCCCGGAGAGTAGCAGCACCCCCGGTGACGGAGAATCACTCACTGAGCACCCACGCCCAAACTACCTAGTTCCATAACCTTCCAGAGAGGTGCTAGACCTCTCTGGAAGGTTATGGAACTGTTATTTACAGCTTACAGCTGGACACTTTTCCATCTTGTTCCCATATGAGATAGTCTTCCTTACTTCTGCCCTATTCTGTAACAAAGCTTAGTCCAGAGTTCCTCAAACTTTTTTGTATCGTAGGCATGTTTTTCCGTGTTGAGTAGACCCCCCCTTACCTGATATTGATTTCCTGTGAATTTCTAACTGTAGTGGAGTTTAGTGTTAAAAAATTAAAGTAAAAACACATGTTTAATTTATACATTTATTAATTGAATTTAAATTAAAACTAAAATAAACGTATTTGTCCCAAATTCGTATTTATAGAGTGACGAATTGAACAAGTCAGTGCAAGGTAGCGAAGCTCTGAGACTGCGACTCTCAGGTTTTTACAAGTTCAAAATTTATTGCGACCACAAAGCGAATACCGACATCCTACAACTTACACAATTTTATAAACATATATAATAAATTTTTTTACTTCATAGGTACTTTTGATATTATAAGATAGTATGATGTAAGTAAATAGGTACTATCAGTGTATGTGTTGAGATCCACTGTCGTGGACCCCCATTTTCATTTCATGGACCCCCAAATTTTTTTTCGCTGACGTAGACCCCTTGCAGGTTGTCATAGACCCCTAGGGTCGATATAGACCACTTTGGGAATCACTGGTTTAGTCTAATATACTGTGTGACTTTCATGATATATCTGACACTTACCGATGAAATTTGAAAATAACACATGGCAATAAATACTATGTAATATCAAATACAAACAGTGTTGCAAATGACGGGTTTCCCGTTAGATTTGACGGGACAGCGAGGATGGCAACGGGAAAAAATTGGGCTAACGGATTTTTAACGGGCCAACAAAAATTTATGTTTTTTTAGATTTGTTTTCGAAATAGAAATAATTAGGAAATGGCAAAAATTAAATTATAATTTTATTCATTTCTTTTATTTAAAAACACGAAAAAATGTGCAATACATTCTTATCTTTAAAAGTTGAGAGAGTAAATTTTCATTTGACTTAATTCTTTTAAATACAGCTCGGAAACTGTTTTGCCGTTGGTCAGCCAAAATGATGCGCTACTGTTGAATATATAGAAAACTATCTATTTATTTCATTCTGTCTCTTTACTGTTTGAGTCGCATATCCTGTGAACCTGTGATATCCTTGAAAGTCAATAAGTTTCAGTTCGATAAAATGACTTTATTAACTATAGCGTGTAGTAGATGGCGCTGTTAAAATCTCAAATAGAAAATGTTCGGTTCCCAATCAGTGGCGAAGCTTCCATTAAAGGCGAAAAGCCGGGCTTGACTTATTAAACCTGAATCGATCAATAATATCAACTAATACAATACCGCGTAAAATGTTTCAAGCTATTTCAAATTTCCCGCGCACTCCACTGTTCGACACATGTCGACCGATGACCTCGTATTGCCTTAGCGATACTGCTGCTGTCATAAAAAATGAGTTTTAATAGAGCTAAGTTGTCTCCCTCGCTCGCGTGGGCTTTTTACGGGGCTTTCGAGAAGACGATCGCTCTCTTTCTAACCTATGGCAAAATATTCTATAATGAAATATAACTACGGTTGTATATATAGCAATTAGTATAGAGATTTAAAGCCAGGCTTTTGGGAATAAATTTTCTTAAAAGCGGAGGCGCGCGGGCAATACGTTTGCAAGTTCATTTCACGTTTCAATGTTTATTTACTCTGTGTGCTTATCTTAAGCGATTTAATATTACGAGTTCAAAATTTATGGTTTTTTAAAGATTTTTAATGAAAATGGAGGATAATAGTGTTCCTTGTGATGAATTGAAGTGTGTTAAAGTGATAATCAGAAAGGAAATCTTTAAACTTTGTTGAGATAATACATAAGGTTAAGAGTGTATTTCAGACTTATCAATTATCGCAATTAAAACAGTTATTGGTACAATTAAAACGTTCACCAACATTTTACGAGGACGTAATTAAATCTTTCCATAAGAAAGCGAGACGATTCCACTTATCTTATCTTATCTCTTATACATTAGAATGTAAATATTTTTTTTTAAATTTTGTACATAGTTTGTTTGTACTTTGTTCGTATTTTATTTTTGTTCATGTATTGTATTGGATGTAAATATTTTTTTCTTTCGCTTAAACAAACCCAAACGGCTTTCTTCAAAGCCACCGAAGCTATGCAATTGCTGATATGTAATACCTACAATCTATTATCTAGCAGTGGTATGCTTTCTGTGTGCTTTGTTAAACACGTCCTTGTCAGCACTGAATATGAAACTGAAGCGTGGAGACAGATCAAGATTGGTGTATTTTTATAAAACTGCTAAAAACAACAATCTATATTTTTATCAATTTATATCTTGGGCTTGCCCTAGTTTGGAGCTCTAGCTTCGCCACTGTTCCCAATGGATCTTACAAATTCAACAGAGTACTGGAGCCTGAAGTGATCCGTTTGAATGATCGATCTGAATGTACCAGTACGCGTGGCGAAATGTACTAGAATGATTTGGGCACTAGAAATGAAAATGATTGCCACTTATCTACCGTACTTGACGGAATTTGACGGGATTATAGTGTTCTCTACAACGGGAACTAGATTTTAATGTTGGCAACACTGAATACTAATGTCAGATGTCAGTTGTCATTTTTGGCGTTTAGCGATAGTTGTATTTGTGATTTTTATATATTATTTTGTGATATGTTTACTTGGCGATTTAAATGCTTTATGCGAATTTTTGCACGTCATTGAAACAATAACGCGTTATAAAGTATCTAATCGTGACGACATTTTCATAATAAAAGGGACACAATTATGTGGCGCGGTTAACGGATGCATTTCCACCATTCATATGCCTAAAACGTTCAGCATAACATATAAATTCGTGATGTTATTGCTAATTGGATCTGAAGATGCCTTTTAAATTAAAGTTAAAGAAAACGCGGCAGTACAATGTAGCTTCAAAGAGCTTGTTCGTGATTAGTGTTGAATTGCTAGACGGTGGTGTAGCAGATTGTACCCTATCGGTCGATAGTACGGGGCAGGAGTGCCTTGATAATGTTTGCCAGCGGCAGGCTATAAACCAACCGGAGTTTTTCGGGCTCAGATACGTGAATCGTAGTCAACAACCGCGATGGGTCCAATTAGAACGCCCCTTGAAACGTCAGTTGGACAAATACGCATCATCCCACCAACTGTACCTTCGTGTTATGTATTATATCATATCTGGCACCAGTCTCATCACGGATGAAGTCACGCGATACCATTACTTTCTCCAGTTAAAGAATGATCTAATTGAGGGACGAATTATTTGTGATTGCCAACAAGCTGTTGTTTTGGCATCATATAGCCGTCAAGCTGAATATGGAAATCATGATCGGGAGAGACATACAGTGGAATACCTAAAAAATCTCTTGACATTTCCCAAGCAAATGCTGGATGGCGGTCAAATCATAGATGGCAGTACATTGGCAGAGACAGGGCGGCTAGAATGGTTAACTGCAGCGGTTATACAACATCACATGTCTCTTCACAATATGTCACAGGTAACCAATTACCATGTCCAAACATCATTCATCAAAACATTGTATCAATGTAAAGTATCAACTGTTTGATTGGTTATTATTTGGCAGTTTATATCCCTTTTTCTCTATCAGCAAATGAACTCTCCTTATTAGATCTTTGTTAGTATTAATGTTAATACAAAAACCAAAGTTACTTCCACTTACACTTAGATCTTTTAAATTATGCCACAGATTTCAATGTGTTATTCATCAATAGATAGAATGATTGAGGAGGACGATTTATATGTATAATACATGCGTATGTTGTCAGGATCCAAATAAGATCCGTGTGAAGGCGGGGCGGAGCGGATTGCTAGTTCTCTAATAAATGCCTACGGTCCTAAAAATACACTGCATTTATTTATGAAGATAACTTTGATTCATCATCATCATTATCATTACAGCCCTTCACAAGTCCACTGCTGTACATAGGCCCCCCAAGGTATGCCACAAAGCACAGTTCACAACAAAGTAAAGTGGTTACATAAAAGACAATTATAAAATAGAATATGGGTTATACCATTGTTTAAATGTTAGGGTAAATTTTTTCAACACAGTTTTAAATATAATAGTTCTATTTATTATATTATCTAAAGTATTAATATTTTGTTAATAAGGATTGGATGAAATTCATACAATAGCTCAAGCATATCCTTGATGCCCTAGGTCTCAACATACTGCTTCTATGATGGGTGTTTAATAAGCAAACAATTTTATAGACTGTTACTGTAAGATAAGCTTAATTACTTTTTGAACTCGTTTACTTTTGACAATTAGGTTGTTGAATTGAAAAAAAAGTTAACAAACCACTAGGCTTTGCTTGATTACGCCTTACACACTGTAAATTCATATATGTCTAGGGTTGCCAACTGTACTATACAATATATTTTTATGAGGTGATATTATTATATATATTGTTACAAAGATTATCCTATGAATAAATTTTTATTTCATGATTTAAAAATCAGCCCTTAGTTTTCAATAATATTATGTTTGGAGGTAAATATTTAATAGAAATATTTTAATAATTTATTTAATTATTTTCACACTTGCGAAATAGTAATCAAACAAAAAAGCAACAAAGTCACTAAAAGCATTTTCATTAAATTTGTAGTGTTTGCATAAATGTAAATAATCAGGGGTGATCAATAGAGGAAATTATTCCTACTATTGTAAAATATATGCCATATTTTTGTTGTACTTACATTATGATATTACACATCTGGTTGTAAAATACTATATTCCTTCCAATAATAGTTGGTAACCCTATCTATGTCTATTGTGTGACCTAATTAACACCTATGTGATTCATTCCAGACAAGTAATTGCCAAACCTATGTACACATAATCAGTGGCATTATCAGTAGTGTGTCGCTGATTAGAAAGATCATGTGATTTTGTTGTGGTTAGAGGGATAAGCTATGCAAGGATTAATTTTGTATTTAATTACTATGTTTTATCAAACAACAAATAGAAAAACATCTAAATTTGATTAATGTTCTTGTTTTTCGCATGTATGTTATGCAATATATTTGCCAGTTTGAACCAATTTAAATGATTTTTTTGTAAATGGGTTGTTTTTTATTATATTTATATTTAATATACTTCAGGGATGTACTGTATAAATTTGGAGAATACATTCCACTGCCAAGTATAAATTCCGGAAGGATCTTTTATAGATATATACTAACTATGCTGTAATTATGTCAACTTAAATAAACAGACTATTTTACTTCCTTTGCTTTCTAGCTGTATACAGTGTGACCCACAGTACACATTTATGTGTTTTATAAGACAGTCTTTACAAAGACATAGCTGTGCAACTGCTGTGCAACAACAACACACTGCTTAACATAGGCCTCCCACAATTAATGCTACAAAGTACATTCCTGTACCACCTGCATCCAGCTTATCTCTCCTTTTCATCTGGGGGTGAAGCTGCTTGCATCCATAGGAATTACTTGAATCCTGACTCCTTACACGTAAACCCTGGGTAGTGCCAAACGAGTAGCACTCACCACATGCTGTGAGTGAGAGACCCGGCTGAAGATTAGTTACCTGACAAACCAGAATTACTTGACAAAGACATACCGCCAAATGATGCAAGTCGTGTTCCGGTATGATGTTAGGTAAAACCCATTTGTTTGGGAGAATGTGGTTCTGGACAGTTGCGTTGCACATAAGGACCGGTTGCAGCACGGCCGTTTCTTGGTGGCAGGTGCCTGGTTATGGAGGTTATTGGGATCCGAAGCATGGTTGTACAGCTGGCCGACTGTAGATAGTTGGGGGCCAATTAATGAGCCAGCCACTCACGAAAGGCTGCCCCGCTATCTTACGAAAAATCCTGGGATGGTTTCACCATGCAGGTTGATGACCGGAGGAGAGGGCCCCGTGGCGATTTCCAGGGAAGTTTGGGCGTCCCTGCAATATCCATGTCAGGTACCATCAATGCTGTTAGTCTGTTTGCGTCCCTAGGTTCTATTTATGTCGGGTCGTACAATTGCCAATTTCTCAACCTATTCACTCCACAACTAATGAAAAAGGGAAAAAGAAGAGTAGTAAGTTATTACAGCAGTTGCACTCCCTCTCCCTCAAAGTGCACCTCACTAACATCCTAGGTCTGCACTGTAATCTCAATTCAGTAGTACACTACCACCTTGAGACCGACAAACCGCACTTACTGCTTGACTGATACACAGATCAGATGTCCTTTAGATGCGGCATACCTTGGCTACCCTGGGTTTACCCTTTTTAGCATAATTTTCACCAGCACGTGGATTCTGTGTGTATGTCTGCAATGACATCTGCTTTATTCATCTCTGTGACCTTGAAGACCCCAATTTCTTCACGATCTGGTTATTGATAGACACAGGAATGGATTAAATTATTTTACACACAACGATAACCAGTAGAAAACTAAGCTATTTGAACACCTCAGTGTAGCTTCTGATGTGGCTCTGAATCGGCACCCTACTGCACAGTTGTCTTTTCTGGGGGACTTTAATGCCTGTCACCAGGAGTGGCTGTTCCCATACCAGAAGACTGAACATGCTGGGAGAGAGGCGTAGAATTTTGCCTTGTCGCTGAGGCTCTCCCAGCTGGTACAACAAGTGATTAGAGTACCCGATGTGGATGGGCACACAGCCAACTGCCTCGGCTCGATCTGCGATCCGGACACGTACGCTGTTCAGGTTACCTCACGCTTGGGAACTTCTGACCACTGTCTGGTGAAATCTGTGTAGGTAGTCGATATATTCCCCACTTATCTACGATTTCCAAGATATACGGCGAATGTGGCGATACAAGTCAGCAGATTAGGATGAGATGCATTTCTTTGCATTTTATCCTTGACGACTGGTCTGCTTCTTGTCTGAATATCCGTCGAGCTGCGCGGATGTCATTACTGATGTGATACGTCAAGCGATGGAGTATTTCATCCCATTTGGTAACGTGCCTATTTGTGGTAAAGCTCGCCCATGGTTCAACGTCGAGTGCGCTCGTGCTGAAAAGCACAAGCACATGGCGTACTTATCCTGGGTCGATACTCGAAACCGCAAAGCTCCGGGTGTTGGTTTTAAGAAAAGAGTTTTTTTAAGTTTTGCCGTTCTACATTGCCTCCGCTCGTAAAACTAGCGCATGCGGCTAAGGAGAAAGCGGACGTATTTGCTTCTCATTTTGCTGGCAATTCTCGTCCGGACAGTAGCAACAGCATATCACCAATTACCACACTGCAGTACCTCTATTATAGATCCAAAAAAATCCATCCATCATCCATCGCATCTCTTACCAGGTCGTGACTCCAATAGTTGCCCTACACTGTTGCTCTTACGGCTCATTATAACTTCAGCTTACTTATCTGTGGGATTATGCCGGTGACTCTGATTCTATTACGGATATTCTCATTATGAAGTCTATCATGCAGAGCTATGAGAACTATGAGCATAGCCTTCTTCATAGCTTGTTGAGCGACCTTGAGCTTCCTTATATGGCCAATCATGATTTACTCAGGCGTAAAATAATTATTATAGGCGAACATATTCGTGTATAACTGAATGTAGTGCTCTCAACAACTACCGGCATTGGTGTCACGTGGATATTACGCATGATTTACTCAGGCGTACAATAATTATTATAGGCGAACATATTCGTGTATAACTTTCAACGTAGTGCTCTCAACAACTACCGGCATTGGTGTCACGTGGATATTACGCATGATTTACTCAGGCGTACAATAATTATTATAGGCGAACATATTCGTGTATAACTTTGAACGTAGTGCTCTCAACAACTACCGGCATTGGTGTCACGTGGATATTACGCATGATTTACTCAGGCGTACAATAATTATTATAGGCGAACATATTCGTGTATAACTTTGAACGTAGTGCTCTCAGCAACTACCGGCATTGGTGTCACGTGGATATTACGCATGGTTTACTCAGGAGTACAATAATTATTATAGGCGAACATATTCGTGTATAACTTTGAACGTAGTGCTCTCAACAACTACCGGCATTGTTGTCACGTGGATATTACGCATGATTTATTCAGGCGTACAATAATTATTACAGGCGAACATATTCGTGTATAACTTTGAACGTAGTGCTCTCAACAACTACCGGTATTGGTGTCACGTGGATATTACGCATGATTTACTCAGGCGTACAATAATTATTATAGGCGAACATATTCGTGTATAACTTTGAACGTAGTGCTCTCAACAACTACCGGCATTGGTGTCACGTGGATATTACGCATGATTTACTCAGGCGTACAATAATTATTATAGGCGAACATATTCGTGTATAGCTTTGAACGTAGTGCTCTCAACAACTACCGGCATTGGTGTCACGTGGATATTACGCATGATTTATTCAGACGTACAATAATTATTACAGGCGAACACATTCGTGTATAACTTTGAACGTAGTGCTCTCAACAACTACCGGCATTGGTGTCACGTGGATATTACGCATGATTTACTCAGGCGTACAATAATTATTATAGGCGAACATATTCGTGTATAACTTTGAACGTAGTGCTCTCAGCAACTACCGGCATTGGTGTCACGTGGATATTACGCATGGTTTACTCAGGAGTACAATAATTATTATAGGCGAACATATTCGTGTATAACTTTGAACGTAGTGCTCTCAACAAGTACCGGCATTGTTGTCACGTGGATATTACGCATGATTTATTCAGGCGTACAATAATTATTACAGGCGAACATATTCGTGTATAACTTTGAACGTAGTGCTCTCAACAACTACCGGCATTGGTGTCACGTGGATATTACGCATGATTTACTCAGGCGTACAATAATTATTATAGGCGAACATATTCGTGTATAACTTTGAACGTAGTGCTCTCAACAACTACCGGCATTGGTGTCACGTGGATATTACGCATGATTTACTCAGGCGTACAATAATTATTATAGGCGAACATATTCGTGTATAGCTTTGAACGTAGTGCTCTCAACAACTACCGGCATTGGTGTCACGTGGATATTACGCATGATTTATTCAGGCGTACAATAATTATTACAGGCGAACATATTCGTGTATAACTTTGAACGTAGTGCTCTCAACAACTACCGGCATTGGTGTCACGTGGATGTTACGCATGATTTACTCAGGCGTACAATAATTATTATAGGCGAACATATTCGTGTATAACTTTGAACGTAGTGCTCTCAACAACTACCGGCATTGATGTCATGTGGATATTACGCATGATTTACTCAGGCGTACAATAATTATTATAGGCGAACATATTCGTGTATAGCTTTGAACGTAGTGCTCTCAACAACTACCGGCATTGATGTCATGTGGATATTACACATGATTTACTCAGGCGTACAATAATTATTATAGGCGAACATATTCGTGTATAGCTTTGAACGTAGTGCTCTCAACAACTACCGGCATTGGTGTCACGTGGATATTACGCATGATTTACTCAGGCGTACAATAATTATTATAGGCGAACATATTCGTGTATAGCTTTGAACGTAGTGCTCTCAACAACTACCGGCATTGATGTCATGTGGATATTACGCATGATTTACTCAGGCGTACAATAATTATTATAGGCGAACATATTCGTGTATAGCTTTGAACGTAGTGCTCTCAACAACTACCGGCATTGATGTCATGTGGATATTACGCATGATTTACTCAGGCGTACAATAATAATTGTAGGCTAACATATTCGTGTATAGCTTTGAACGTAGTGCTCTCAACAACTACCGGCATTGGTGTCACGTGGATATTACGCATGATTTTTTCCCTGTCTACGTTTATTTTTAGAATTATAGAGCATAGTGCCGAGATCCTCCAGCGATTTCCATAATTACTATAACGTCGGAAAATTGATGGTGAGTTTGTACTCGCCGTTGATGCTAATGCGTAGCGTGTGAATACGATGACGCATCTTTATTATTTACGATAATCCCTTCAAGCAAATAGGTAATGAATTTGTCTTGTCTGACCAAACTCAATATTTTTTAATTCGTCATACATTTATCTATAAAATAATCTATAAAATTGAAGTGACTGTCTTGTATTGAAATAACTGGCTTGTATTAAGCTCAGTGGGTATTTGCATGATTTAGTTAGTTTTATTAAGAAATTTTTAAAATTTTAGTTTGTTTGTCTGTCAGTACGGACAAATCTTAGAAACGGCTGAACCGATTGTGATGAAACTTAAAACACTTTGATTTATATTTGTGCGTGGTAGAGACACGCTGCAGCTATATTATGGTTGTAGCACGAATGGGTCGGCTCGACCAGGGAAGGAACACGCTCTCACAGAATACTAGCGTAAAATAGCAGCTTAATACTGCCGTGTTTCGTATGGTGAGTGTGAGTGATCCGGAGACCCTTTTTACTGGAAACGAGGCAATCCATCTTAGTCCTCACGAGTGACAACGCATCTGCGTTTTGATTCTTAATCGAGGATAATTGTAGATGTCAATAAGCCACAGCATCCACTTAGCATCAGGTGGACTGTGTGCCCGTTTGTCACCCTCATTCTATAAAAAAAGAAGATTTATAAAATAAATGGTCTTTGATTATCTAACATTAAAAGATCATCCAGACAAAGCCGGGGCGGGTTGCTAGTGTTCTATCAACTTTGAGAAATATATCTTTTACGAATACCTAGCTTTGAAAATTTCAATCAAAACTGGATTAACTTACTGTTAACGTGTCAATCGTATTTGGTTATTATATCAGTCTATAACAAATACCTAGTTATGAATGATGAATTGTCAGTCAGGAATTTTGGTGTGAACGGACCGTGAGAATCTACCGCTCTGTTTGAGTATGCAGTAAAGCGGAGTGTTAAGTGTGTATGACAAACAGGATATTGTAATTCGGTCGATCAAGTAGTATAATAATGCGGTCGATATCGGATGGAGACTGCACTGGACAGGATTATAGTGCCCGAGTGTATGCGTAAGCACTCTCTACTATCTCGCTCTCATAATCTAATTGGACGTAACCCTACACGACCGGTGAAGAGATCAGGCGCAAGACCAATGGCATAACGTGCTTTCCGGGGCACGGGGATGAAACACCGCCAACTTCCTGACACCGGGCTGCTAATGAGAATGTCTTACCGAAAAATGCAATAGATTTTGACCCGACTCTGGATTCGAACCCAGGACTTCTTGACAGAAATCGCGTTTACGTCCTTTAGATCTACGAGGCAGTCAAACGATGGTCATCAAGTTGTATAACGCACAATACTCCTCGCCAAACGCCCCGCGGAACACTCTTCATTAAGTTCCTACCCTAAGACGAAGATTCCTTTAACTCGTAAAAAACAGTTTATTGTCTATGGCACCTACAAAAACCAAAAGGAATTCAGCTGTCGACTACTTAGTCTGTATTAAGAGAAGTTATCGAAGGGTCGTTGACAGATTCTTTGACTAATACTTTAATAAGTGTTGCCTGTAGTCCGTCTATAGTATAAAAAATAATATTTGTTTGTTCGTATTTTATGCCTGCCATGCAGTAAAACTTTGACATCATACTGCTTGCACTTTCGCAAAGGTTATAGGCATAGTTGGACCCGGTAGATGGCGCTGTTGTAGAAATAGATATCGCCCGTGCGAAACCGGGCAGATCGCTAGTATTGAAAAAAAATTATTCTATTCTATTCTATACTGTCGAACATGAGGTACCTTACGGTGTAGTGGCTGTGTAAGAATATCCACTATTCCACATATTCCCGCGGGTGCCGTAAGAGGTGACAAAGAGAAAACTAGAACAGCAGCAGCAGCGGTTGCCAATCCACCTGCCAAGCGTGGCAACTATGCCAAAATCCCTCTTATGATGCAATTTCTATACGCAGTAGAGCCACGCTGCAGCTATATTATGGTTGTAGCACGAAGGAGTCGGCTCGCCCGGGGAAGAACCACGCTCTCACACAATACCAGCGTAAAATTACTGCTGTGTTTTGTATGGTGAGTGCAGAGACCCGGAGACCCTTTTTTACTGGAAATGAGGCATATCATCTTAGTCCTCAGGGAGGACAACGCATCTGCGTTTTGATTCTTAATTGGAATTATGTAGATGTCTATGGGCCACAGCATCCACTTACCATCAGGTGGCCTGTGTGTTCGTTTGCCATCATAATATAAAAAAATCTATGGCGAGAGACCTGTATTCAGAAGTGGATTTTTATAGGATGTAATCGATGGATGAGATAGATGAGCATAAGGTAAGAATCTCATTAACGACCTAGTAATATATGCCTGGAAGTCTATGGATTCAGAAGGCACTGACCGTGCTCTATAGAGTTGTAATGGCCGGCAATGATGATGAGTATGAGGTAAATTAGTACTCATAATTGAGTTTAACAACAATTTAATTAAATTAATAGAATCAGGCATTACTTGCGGAAATCCATTATAAAAATAATTAGCTAAGATCCGCGTAATGAAAAATAATGATGTGTCTCATGTAGTTTATGTTGTGAGCACCTCTCGCCCTCTCAATTGCGTGTGCTATCTTCGTCATCACTAATTCCAACACCACTACTCTAGGAACACAGACACACCACCGTCGATAATACGATACGTGTCTGTCGACGCCTCTAAACGAAGAGTCATTCTCGTTTGAAGTGGACCGCAATGCCTCTTTAACAATTTAATTGTTACCGGCGGGGGAGGTCCTCAAGTTTGCTTGCACTTTGAAATTTTGATCGAGCTCGCAGTCCTAAATCAATTTGTGTTTGAGCAATTCCACACAAAAAAATTCGTAACATTTAATTGGACGCCCAAACCGATGCAGTTGTGCTACGTTTTGCATACCAATTCGAACGAGGGCGGGCTTTGCATGTAAATTAAAAAATTGGCATGCAATGCCTGGTTAGCAAACTAGTTACGAAAACTATCCGGATATCGGACTAAATAGAGCTTTCAAATGAGGTAATCGATGAATTTTATTTTAACTAAGCGTAACAACGGATTCGCCTGGATATATTAACGTGGTGTCATATCAGATTGAAGATAATCATCAAAGATCATTTACTTTATCGATTTAAAAAAATACTCCCAAGTTTTTATCATAGATCACTCCTGGCATTGCTCTATTATCTGTTCGTTGAATTTCGTTACAGTCGGTTCAGCCATGTCGAAGATTAGCTCGCACAGACAGACAGACAGACAAAACTTGACTGCACTCATTTGTCATGTTTACTTATATAAAAAAAATACGAATTTTAAGCATTAGAAATAGGTACTATCCTGTTATGTTTGCCGCAGGCGCAAGCGGAAGAAGGCTTCATCACCGCATGCCAGCAGCTGCGAGGCTACGGCCAGGAAATGTTTAGCGCGCGAGACCAGCTCGACCAGAGTGAAGTCACTATCGCCGTGTCACTCACCGGCATCCGGGTGCTGACGGAGACCAGCGACACGCCACACTTTTACAGGTTAGTTCAAAAAATACTTTATTATTTTTACTTGACTGTCCCAGACGGAGGCTCTGTAGGCTGTAAATGGCTTGTTGGATCTTAACATTTATGGCGTCGTTAGAATCGTAGAAGTGATATAGGCTATAATTTTTTTTTTGTTAAGTAATAGTTTCAACTTTCTTGACAGAAAAGCAGTTGGGTTTCAACCTTTATAGACGGAGAGCCGGTGCTTAAAAAACTGTTAGAATTTACTAAGGCAATTTTTTTAAGTTCATTACAATAGTTGTATACACAAACATACTGCGTTCAGTTTTTACTAAGGCTATTTTTTTAAGTTCATTACAATAGTTGTGTACACAAACATACTGCGTTCAGTTAAGCGAAACTGAGAACAGGTGACTCAGGTGCATTATCAAGATTGTCGTACCTGCCAAGGCGATAAAATGAATTTACTAAGGCTGAAAATTGTTATACAACTTGTATATTATATTGCATATAAATAAAAGTTGAAATGGTCAGTCAGCTGAATATGGTGGCGGAGCTGACCAGTCGGTAATGTAATTGCAAAATAATGTGCAATTCATTTACTACACTTCAAAAATTTTGTAGGGCTATTAAATATTATTTTAAACATAAAGAAAAAGTCGATTTAACGGAACAAGACCTGCCAGTAAACAAAAAAGGGATAAAAATATCACTCGCGTGCGCTCGGCATCGCAGGTGACCGCTTGCTTCTTTCTTAATTACAATATTTATTTATTTGCATTGTACGAGCTACTTGAACCTTTTTATTGTTATTAAGTAAAAATACGTAAGCGTTGTAACGCGGCAAAATACTTTAATTTTATAAAATTAGTGTGAACTTAACACTCCATTGAATTGGTCGTTATCATTTTATTTGTCATTTGTTGTCAGTATCATCTTAAATTATTATTTTACATATTATTTCTATTTGTTTAATTTCTATTTCTTTTTTACTGACTGACAGGGTGTGTCTCGTTAAATCGTTGGCTAGTTTTTTATGTTTAAAATAATATTTAACACCCCTATAAATTTTTTGAAATGTATTAAATCAGTTGCACATACATTGCGACCGTCTGACCAGCTCCGTGCTCATATTTAGCTGACTGACCATTACAACTTTTATTTATATTATGCAATATAAAAGTTGTATTGTTATACAATTTAAAAAAAATTCAGCCTTAGTAAATTTATTTTATTACCTTGGCAAGTACGACACCTTTGATAGCGCAACTAAATCACCTGTTCTCAGTTTCGCTTCACTGACTGCAGTATTTTTGTGTACACAACCATTGTAATGCACTATAAAAAACTAGTCTTATTATTTTGTTTTATTTTATTTATTAGGGATAACAACAGCCTTCATTCTGTGAAATAAAATCTGATATAATATGTTTTATATAGGGCCAATAATAGTCATTCACTTTCCACAATTTAGCACAAATCAGAAGTATGAAAAGTTGAAAAAAAAATAACAAAACCTTTGATTTTAAATAGATTTTTGGGCCCTGGTTCTTGGACTATTAGACTTGTTTTAAGAAAATGTAACCCCCCGCCACACTAGCATTCTCTCCTATATCGTGTGTGCATTAATTTCACAAGAAAAGACAATTTGTAGTACGAATGGGTCGGCTCGACCGAGAAAGGACCACGCTCTCGCAAAATACCAGCATAAAACAGCAGCTTAATGCTGCTGTGTGTCGTATGTCACCATATGTGAAGAGAACCAGAGAACCTTTTTTTTACTTGAAACGAGGCATTCCATCTTAGACCTCAGGTAGACCACACATTTGCATTTTGATTTTTAATCGAGGATAGATGTAGTCTATTAGACACAGCGCTCACATGCCATCAGGTGGATTGTGTGACATTTGTCACTTTATGTGCTTTAAAAAAGAAACAGCTCAAGTTACTTGATTTACCTCTGAACAAATAATAAGTAACAATATTTTATCACGCTACGAGAGATTGCGTAGGAATACTCCCTATGTTACCTTATTTATGAAGATGATGAAAACAATAAAGACTAAAAAACCAAGTGCGTGTCGGTCCACGCACAATGTAAATGTAGGGTTCCGTAGTTGCCCGTCACAATACGTGGGCTTTCTTGATAATGAGCATAATAAGTGAGTTCGCGATTTGACCGTTATAACGACTAAAAATAGTCCCACATGAGAAATTGGTAACTAAAGGACTTATTATCAAATCAGCCTTATAGGGACAGTATTTTGTCTGTTTGTTTGTGCGTTTGTGCAACCTGAGCCAATTGAATGTAATTTTCAGTAAATAAACCGAAAATCCATATTGAAATAACCTGTGGTTAATACATACTCGTACATGTTTATATTTAAATCGGTTGACAAATAAAAAGATACGTCATGTTTAATGTGCGACTCACGTGCGCTCACCGTGCCACGTGAGTAATAAGTCGGAAGTAATAGGCTCAGCTGCTTGCAGCCGCTGCTCTTTATGTCGTCCTTTTCTTTACTGAACTTGTCGTATGTCTAGATTTATATGTAGTAATGTCCTCCAGACCTAACTTTGGTCACGGCGGCCAGTCTCAACGTAGACTAGTATGTGCAGGACAGGATTACAGTGCCCGAGTGTATGCGCGAAAATAGGTACACTCTCTATTTCTTCACTCATAGTGCTATGGGACGGTAACCCGACACGAGCTTATAGAGAACAGGCGCAGGATCTACGGTTTTTCGTGCTTCCCGAGGCACGGGCGTGAAACTTCCCGGCTCTTGGCTGCTACTGAGAATTTCTTGACAGAAAAAACAATAATTAGGCCCAACCTAGGATTCGGACCCGGGACCACATGATCGCAGTCTACACTCTTACCTATTTATGCTGCAAAATATATGCTCTTCCGGTCTGAAGATTAGAGACAGTATAATTACCGGCTGTGAGTCATCCCATCTTAGTCCTCAGAGGTGATAACGCCTTTATTTGAAGGTGTACATGGAGTTTTCTGTTGAAATCTCAGCAGCCAGGAGTCAGGAATTTGGTGGTGTTTAGCTCTTACCTTGAAAAGCACGCAAAACCTGCGCATAACCTCTCCCGTTACGTCGGATTGCCGACGCATCGGCCTATAAGAGCGGGGGACCTTCATTGAGTCTGGCCTCTGTGTTCAAAGTTCGGTCAGAGTATTTTATCATTATTATACTCGTATATAAAACATTATTATTATTGGGGGGTTTTTTTTCCTGTCGGAAGGTCGGTGGTGGAACCTTGGGTGGGCCGCCAAGAGGGGGGGGGGGGTTTGGGCTTCCCGGGCCTCTTGTAATTTGTACTATTAACACTAAACCCCGGTGCAGATGGATGGACATAACAAACGTGATCAACCACAAGCGGACCTTCAGCGTGGAGTGCCAACGGCCTCTCAGCTCGGCGGCCTTTGTTTTGCCCAGCCCTGAAGACGGGAAGTACGTGTGGCGCATGTGCGTGCAGCAACACACTTTCTACATGCGGCACCGGGTCGCCCTCAGCACGGCACACACCGTCACGCCCGAAGAACCAAGACCCAACTTCCAGGTGAGTCTCAACACACACATACCTTAGCTCATAACTATTGGTCACCATTAATGTTTTTTTAAATAGAATAAGGGTGACAAACGAGCACACAGTCCACCTGTTGGTAAGTGGATGCTGTAGCCCATAGAAATCTACATTTATCCTCGATTAAGAATCAAAATCTATCTAAGATGGAATGCCTCGTTTCCAGTAGAAAGGGCCGCCAGTTCTCTACACTCACCATAAGAAACACAGCAGAATTAAACTGCTATTTTACAATCGTATTCTGTGAGATTTGTTATTATAAGGTTTTATTTCGTGCCCACGTGAATAATATTTGTTTAACCAAATAATTATGTAAATCTAGATGTTAGTCTATATGTAGTTCATAAAAAACAGGTAGTTTGGTGTTGCTACCAGTTAAAAAACACTTAGTCCAGGAGGAATCGGCGCATGGGTACCGAAAACTATTTCACCTCATTTTTTATGCGATTCTTTTCAGTGTGCACTTATGTTATAAATGGATGTTGCTATGGGGCAACACAGTGCCATATTGTTTAAACCGATTTTATTTTCAATTGCAAGGAATTGTTAATTCCAAACTTGACATTTTTTATTCTTTGATGAAATACGAATCTCTCTCATGACTCTTTACGATAAAGTTAACATTTGCGGCGTTATAATTTTTTAAATGTTTGAAAAACCCCAAATTCGGATACTTTTGACCCATTAAAATATATTGTCCCGTTTGAAAATAAAAAGTTCTTGCAATTGAAAAAAAATCGGTTTTAACAACATGGCTTCGAGAGTATTGCATTAAAAAAATGAGGTGGTGGTATATTATAAACTGAAATACTGATTTCGATCGTATTGTTTTTCTTCATCAACCCGAAACAGTCCAAAGTGACATAGTCGTATTCTAGTGTAGGAAGCATACGCTCGAATGTTCACGCTTACAGTTAAAGTAACAGCCTATATATGTATTTTATACGAATTAATAGTTTTCGGTAGTCTTGCGCCGATTCCTCTTGGACTAACTGGAAAATTGCTTTTGCGTTATTATTATGTTGATATTTTACGTTACATTCGTTGTTTTATAATTAAGTAAAACTGAAGTGTCAAATTAACTTTCAACCTCAGGTGGGTTGGAAGGGGAAATTATATCCCATGAACAACTGCAATCTACTTCAAATAAAGTATGTATAATATAGATGATTTCTTAAATTTACGCGAACACGACACATTGGATAAAACCACTTATACGGATTTTATCCAAGCATATTACTCCAAGACTTCAAGAAAAATTAATATTCGAAACCTGAAGGTAGCCGGACTAACTATGACATTGGGACGTCAAACATCTCAGTCCCCCCCGTGACCATGGGTGCTGTAAAGCACTCAAAACATCGGGTATTAAAAATAAGTTAATTAAACGCGATAAAATCCGTTTGAGTCGTTTTATTCAATTTATAATATAGATGATAAATAATATTTATTGAAAGTCGTTCTTATGTTTGATTTACCACCTTTCTGAAAATACATCTGTTTTGTTAAGAACCAGCAACAATGGGGGCTTTCTTTTTTTTCTGCAGGGCATTTAATTTTTTTTAAAGCGGAGAAAAGCTTGCAATCACTTAATATGTCTGCATTCATAATCTATCTATTATATATATAATCTATTTATAATATATCTATATCTATCAGAAAGGAACACAACATTGCACGCACTGCTTTTAGACGGTTGAAGTATGTAACGAGGCCGAGGGTGGTATCTACCCAGTGTACTTTCTATATTATGATAGGTCTATCAGTTGAGGGGTCTGAGAAATACCTACAGGCTTTGATTTTGATTTAAATAAAAAAATACCTAAATACTTTTGAATAAAACTATTATTTACGGATTTTATCGCGTTTAATTACTTTAATTTATTTTTATTATTATCCCGACGTTTCGGGTGCTTTACAGCACCCATGGTCACGGGGGGGGACTGAGATGTTTGACGTCCCAATGTCATTGTTAGCCCGGCTACCTTCAGTTTTTTTTTATATTAATTTTTGGTCCGATTTACGCAAAACGAGCTTATAGTATATGTTCCACATATAGCTGATGTGAAGCACCGACGCTCCGGGAAGTCTGCAGTCTGCGAACATGTTCAATATCGTCCCCACCATTACATTAGATTTGATAAACCACAAATTCTCGCAAAAGAACACCGATTCCTACCAAGGATGATACGCGAGGCTATTGAAATTAAAAAGCATCCAAGTTTCAATAGAGATGGGGGTAATGCTTGGGGATCCTATAATTAACAAAATTAAACCAAAATCCAAGCATACCACTGCAAGACTTCATGATACTATAAGCTCGTTTTGCGTAAATCGGACCAAAAATTAATATTAAAAAAAAACTGAAAGTAGCCGGACTAACTATGACATTGGGACGTCAAACATCTCAGTCCCCCCCCTGTGACCATGGGTGCTGTAAAGCACCCGAAACGTCGGGATAATAATAAAAATAAATTAAAGTAATTAAACGCGATAAAATCAGTAAATAATAGTTTTATTCAATGTTTAGTGTTCGCGTAAATTTAAGAAATCATTATAAATACTTTTGACTATGATTTTACATGGTAGAGCCATGCTGCGGCTATATTATGATTGTAGCACGAATGGGTCAGGTGGACTGTGTGCTCGTTTGTCACCCTTATTCTATAAAAAAAAGTGGTTCTAAAAATAAAAACAACCAGTAAACCACTTTTTGTAATGAGTTTAGGTCATTAGTAACATTGATTAATCTTCCGACACTCAACAGCAGATTTCCCATAGATTATAGAGCAGTCTTTGTTCATATACTAATAATTATTATGAATCTTTTTCACCATGTGTATAATTATAATATATTAATCACTAATACACATCTTGCATGAGGCGTACTAGCTTAGGCGTTGATTGTGGACTCGGGGGCATAGTGTCGGAGCGCGGATTCGAATTTCAGCTTGAGGCAAAAAAAATTTAAAACAAAAAATTTAAAAGCTTAGAGGCTCTCGTAAATTTCATAGTACAAGGGCAACTTAAGTTCGATCTCCGCGCACAAATTTTACGGATGCGTGGCGCAATGGTTTAGCTATGAGTTGTAGTTCTGAGGGCCGCAGGTTCGAATCCCGCACGGAACAAGTATTTGTGTGGCCTACAAATAATTATTCCGGCTCTTCATGTTTGTCCTTGTGTAATGTATGTATGTAAACTGTTCCTACAATACAGGACAAAATCCTATATGGAGGTAGTAACGCTGTTTAAAAAAATTAAAGTTTAATGAGCAAATTCAAGTTCAAGGTTGCCTTGCTTTTACGGTCATTAACGATCAAAGATGTTTTCGGATCATTGCGTGGGATAAACTGCGGATGAAAGTAGAACTCTCTTTAATACACAGTTAACTTTTTCCCATGGGAGAAATTATGATAAATAGTTCATTGTACAGTCAAGTATCTATTCTCTAAATATATGACACCGTGTAGTGGCGGTGTAAGAACATCCACTACACACACATACACTCGCGCGCGCGCGCGCGGAAGCACGACCGCACGCACGCACGCACGCACGCACGCACACACACACACGTGTTACGTATGGTGAACACAGAGAACTGGAGACCCTATTTACAGAATTCGAGGCATTCCATCTTAGTCTTCAGGGTTGACAGCGCATCTGTGTTTTAACAATTAATCGAGGATTGATGTAGTTGCTGTGGGCCACTGCTTCCACTCACCACCGCGTGAAATGTGTGCTCGTTTGAAGGCTCGTTTGGCACCCTTATATTATAACAAAATAAAATCTTCAAAAGCGTACTCGTCGGTTAAATTAGATAGAGTTTAGAAAAAAAAAACTAGGTGCTAGGGTCTTATACCCTACTAGTTCTAGATCTAAGAGTGCGTCTATCCTCTTACATATTTCTACCGTCAAAAAGCAGTGCTCCTCATTCCTGGTTTTCTGTTTGAAGAGTAAAAGAGTTATTTTAATTAATACCGGGATAACAAGCGTGTTCCCGATAATAACTCAAAATAAAAATGCGGTTGTTAACTATGAGGCAATCTATGGGGCAGCCTACGGGCGGAAGTGGAACTTACAAGCCGTAATAGTAACAAGACATTATGTTTTAAGTATGTGCATGACTTACTGTTGTTAACATACAATATCACCAATGGAGTAAAATACAAGTGAAATATAAAAAGTGGACATTTCAAACACGCGTGCGCACGACCGTATCGTAGAAAGTAAATCAGCAACGATAAGTGTATAGGAAATCGTCGCACAGTGAGATTTAAACTATTAAAGATTTTATAAAATAATTACCTAACATCCGCGTAATAAAATAAAATGATGTGTTTTACTTAGTTTTAAAAGCACCTCCCGCTCTTCCTCAACTGCGTGCACTATCCCCGTTACCGCTAATCCCAACATCACTACACTAGTAAAGATACGAGATAAGATGCTTATAATAAGAGCTTTGTTACTTGTAGCAGTTAAAACCAAGTTATCCGTATTTTTTTTTTTTCATATTTTTAGTTCTTACATTGTACACAAAAAAATTTCTATTTACATAAAGAATAAATAAATCACTTTGTTCTATAATTATATTTGGTATTGATCGTTGTGTACTTTCATATATTATTCACAGACTTGTATAATATTGTAAATCTTTAATATACTCTATGCATAATACTACGTCTTAATAACTACACTTTTATTGCATGGTAAATCTATATTATGGTTGTAACACGACTGGGTCGGCTCGACCGGGGTAGGAGTACGCTCTCACAGAATACCAGCGTAAAATAGCAGCTTAATGCTGCTGTGTTTCGTGTAGTGAGTGTGGAGAACCGGGGACTCTTTTTGTTGGATACGAGGCACTCCATCTTACTTCCCTGGGGTGAGAACGCATCTGCATTTTGATTCTTAAATGAGTACATATGTAGATGTCAATGGGCCACAGCCATCCACTTACTATCAGGTGGTCACATAAAAAAATTTACAAATACTTGCTAGTCTATGATAATAATAATTATGACTTAATTTTTTATTGCATTTTAATTAGTTTAAATGCTTTTTTATATCAAACTCGGGTTGTTTCTTGTTTGTGAGTCAATTAAAGTCTAAACTGAAAACCAGTGATGAAACAGATAATCATTGAGGTAGGATTCTTTTTGATATCACAACAGCGTTATTACCAATATGTACTATATATTTATATACAACATGTAACAAAAACCCTGTGGTTCCCGTTAACTGCGTTATCAGAATCCGCATAGCCAAGCATATAGAAATAATTTTTTTTTTCAAAAAAAACGCTTTTAAAAAATTAATTTTAATAAAATTAATTTGCAAATTGTATGTGGTTTTATTATATCTGCATTGGCCGAGGAGTAAGAGGATTGTCAAAGACCCCGCATTACCGATATTCGTGTGAGTTAGAGGAAATAAAACCACATATAATTTGCAAATAAATTCTTTTTTCATTAAAATAATTTTTTAAATGCGTTTTTTTGTAAAAATATTATTTCTATCGCGGTGTTTTTTTTGGGGGGGGGGTTTTTGTTACATGTTGTATATATATATATATATATATATACATACATACTAGAAATTTCTGTTTCTTAGTGTTGTGTATTGGACTGTTTCTTTCTTTCCGTCGGTTCCAGGAGCACGGTTTGTCGGAGAGCCGCGAGGAGCTAGATGTGCGGGATAGCGGGAGCACTTCCCGATTGGATCCGCAGTCCGCACTGTCTCCGCTGTCCCCACAGGCCCCACTGTCGGCAGCACATCGTGCACACTCCACGTCATGCCTCGAGCTGGCCGACCACCCACCACAGCCGCTGCCCAGGAACAGGTCTGTTATTACCAGGATATCGTACCGCGGAAATCGGAAGAGGCGACTAAGGAAACCAATCAGAACCAATGTCTTACTAATAACAACTTAAATGAAACTGCGGCTGCCAATCCACGGTAGCATCTATTTTTTTTGTTTATAAAAAAATATTAGTAATCCTATTTATTAACATTACTAATATTCCCTTTAACCACTCCTGGTAAGCTGAAAATGCTTGTGTTAGGAGTGGTTCACGACAGTAGTCGAATGGTGGATTCGAACCCACGACCTTTTGAGTTCGCGGCCCGCGCCCTGCCATTAGGCTACTGTTGCTAAATGCACGTATGCTATGTGCAAGTATCCTCCTAATCTATTACTTCTTTCATAATTTTAAATCTATATGTGGTCTGAGTGGACCGTTGCTCTTTGGACTCTGCCTACCCCTTCGGGGATTACAGGCAAAAAGTATGTGTGTGTACATATGTATAAATTTGAAAATGATTGATACATTTTTTAAATCTATAACCACATAGTAGCGGTATAAGAATATCTACTACCATAATATAGCTGCAACATGGCTCTACCACATAAGAATTTATGTAAAATATATATATTATATGTTTTGTCAAATTTATACACGTGACTGTTTGTCACAAAAGACATTAAAACAATAAACTTTGTTCTATTTCAGAGCTCTTTTGCCTTCATACCGACCGGCGCCCGATTACGAAACGGCTATCCAACAGAAATATCAGCAGCAAAGAGCAGAAGCGCAGATTCGATATCAGAACCATCACACCACATTCCCAACTCCTTGGCAGCAGTGCCAAACCTCTAGTATACGGATCCCATCCAGACATCCATAGGATCCACTACCCCGATGTCACCAGACACACGGTTTCTGTTAACCAGGGTGTAGCAGCCACTGACGATTACAACTACGGTCTTAAATTCATGGGCAACTATCCATTCGCAGTCAACCCCAATGTCCAGACCGACCACGCTTTACACTACGTCAATGTATACAAACCACCACCTCCCTACCCCTCTAATGGTCTAGCCTCCAACTCGACCCCAGACCTAGCCGTGGCGAGTCAAGCCTTAAACTATCACAGAGGTTACATCAACTCCCATGTGTCAGGTTCCAGTCCAGACTAGTTTCAACGAGACCGGCGTTAAATAGGCAATACCTAGGGTACCTTAACCAAGGTCATAACGTTGTGAACTACACTCGACCCAACCTCCTCCCGGCAACGCACGGAACATACAACAATCTCACATCAGTCCTCGACCCTAATCCACATATCATAATCGACCCTCATCATATATCCGACAACATACAGAAAGTATATGATGAAAGGGGGAACATAATGTATTCTATGCCCATGCGTCGGATATCCTACCAAAGGCATCTGGTGCTGCCGCAAACCCAACAGATCAAAATGAACGAAACCCAGGAACCAATATACGAAAACGTTCCGCTTCCATGGCAAAACGAAAGTACAACGAGGGATCGAGCACAGAGTCTGACAACTACCGACGAGATTTCACGACTAAACGACCGAAATAGCAGCCATCCGACCATAAACAATTATGGCAACTTGAAACCGACTCTAAACCTACCGAACTACCACTTACCGGTGAAAATTGAACTAGACAACTATTACATGAATGCACAAGTTATTAAGGGTGTGAGGGAGACGAGTGTGCCAAAAGATCTGAACATCTCTAGTCGATCTATCAACAAGACTGAAGAATTGGAAAATATCTCATTAGCAGTAGATAAGCTGTCGTTGAAGAATGACGACAAAGATTTTGATGAGACTCCGTACCAAAGTCTTTCAACCCACAAAATATCCAATAATAATATAATAAGCAAGTCTAGTGATAATGTAACATCCATAATCGTGCCAGATATTAAATGTGGGCAAAGCATTCAAAACTTATCACAAAATACAACGGATAGTGCTTTATCAAGCTCTATTACAAACTCAGCTTACACCAGCGTTGAGTTAGAGAACTCAAAGAATAGTGTGAGCAATAAAGAAAAGAAGAGAAGAAGGTGGGGAGTGTTTATGGGTAGGGGGAATAAGACGGTGGAAGTAAAAAGTGCTACACTGGGGAGGGATAGAGCGAAAGCTAACGCAGGGCAGACTGCGAACAAACATCGGTGGTCTACAGGATTGCCCAAGTTTCAACCCTTACCTCCCAGCATTACCAAAGAAACTTTGGTGAGTGATTTTGCTAATAATATGTACATATAAGTATACTTTGTCTGTAATATTGAAATAACTGGTTTCTATTAAGGTTATCTTCATGCTATTTAGACATAGGCATTTAAAAAAATTTATTCTATTTGTCCGTCTGTCTGTCCGAGCTTATCTTTTGAATGGCTGAACCGATTGTGATGATACTTTACGAACAGATAAAGAGCAATGCCAAAGAGATCTAGGCTGTGTTTTATCCGAAAATAAAGAAAGGAAGAAAGATATTTTTTCAATATACACATCACATAAATAAAAAGAACAAATATAGGGCAGTTTAAGTTTTACTAGTGATGCGGTATGTATTAAGCCAGTGAAAAGGTTATGATGACTCAGCCTAATGCTGCAGGGTAACCTACAGCGCTGATAATTCTGTCATAAACATACATTATAACCATAGAAAATCTAAAGGATTAACGAAAAGTTTATAAACTAAATGATTTTGGATTTCTTATATTTACGCGAATACTACACAATGGAACAAAACTAATTTCGCGTTTAATTTTAACTTTTCTAATTCCCGACGTTTCGGGCAATTTCCAGTGCCCATGGTCGCAAGGGGACTGAGGTGTTTGACGTCCCGATGTCATATTTAATATTTATCATAGCAAAGGTATCATAGTATAGGGAATTAAAAAAGTTGAAATTATACACGATAGAATAAGTAAAATGAGTTTTATTCCGTGATTTTTGATTATTTTAATCTAAATAATGCAACATTAATAAATTCTATCGAGGCGAAGCCGGGACGGGTTACCATTACATCCTACCCATCGCTGAACACAGCCACGCCCTCCATAGACTGCCTCATAGGGGGATATTTGCCACGCTTGGCAAACGGGTTGCCGACCGCAGTTTTTTTCTTTTCATTATTAGAAAGACGCTGCTTTATTTCCTCTGTCGCCTCACACACTGCCACTACACGGTAAGTAGTAATTCAAACATTAAAATTGCTGTCAGACTATATTGACTGTGCCGTTGGTCTAGCGTAAGCGCGAGTGCTGATCATGTGGTCCCGTATACGAATTAGTTATTACGTTTTTTTTTTTGCCAAAACATTCTCAGAAACAGCTCGGAGTCAGGACGTTGGGGGTGTTTTACACTGGTGTTTCTTAAAGCACGTAAATCCGTTGATGCTGCGCCTCATATCACCCCAGTGGTGTCGAATTGCATGGATTAAGAGAGTGAGGGAATAAACAGTGCACCTGTGCTTGTGCATACACTTGTATGCTATAATTTTGTCCTTTGTAGATGGTTAGTCTCCATTGAGACTACCCGTAATGACCGATATCTGGTCTGGAAGACATTATTTTCAATCCTACGCTTAGAACTGGTACTATAAGTTACTTAAATTATTTCCAGTGCACTCTACTTGAACGCAAGATGTCGGACGACCAGCTTGCATTCGCCTTCGAACAAATACCCAAGGGTCGAGAGAGTGGGGGTGAAATTCGCACGGCGCTTTTACCCCAATACGCAGCTCTCAACGACTTCTGCACCGACCACTTGCCCTATGAAGACAACAGGGTGAGGCTGCACCCCACACCGGCCAACCCTCATGGATATATCAACGCTTCGCATATAACGGTAAACTGACAATGTTTTAATATATTTGACTTTTAATTTTATAAACTTAATTTTAACTAGTGGCCGTTAAGATAATCGATTCGCGTCGAAAACTTCATTCGGGTTTTTTAAGGGCGATATCGTAAGGATGTGAGTAAGTTACTTGCAGAAAATTACGGCTTTAGAAAGATGAAGTCTTTATTTAGTGCACTATAAAGCAATATCATAATTTTTAATGACGGTTTTTGGAGCGAAGACAATCCCTCCATAGCGTTTTACAAAAATATGCGTCATAGTTAACTTTCTATTCGAATAAAACCATTACTATAAGTTAAAATAAGTCTTGAAGTGCAACACAAAGCCTTAATTTGTAATTTTTTCGATTTAATATTGAAACACAAGGATCACCAAAACTGTCCACTTCAATATTATTATTTTTTTCTTGTATTTTGATATGAATTTATATATTTTAATTATTTTATCATATTACAGGTAGGTGACATACAGGAAAATGTATACACAGGGACAGGGAAGCACGAGAGTAGAATGAACGCAGTAGAAATGCGGTGGTTAAGGAGTATGTTAGGGCTGAATCTGAACGACAGGGTAAGAAATTGTGTAATAAGAGAAGAGTGTGGTGATGATGCATGATGATGTGACCAGGATTAAGAAAGGAATGCTTCGGTGGTTTGGTCATGTGGAAAGAATGAATGAGGAAAGAGTGACAAAGAAAATTTATGTTGCAGAAGTGAATGACAGAGTCGGAAAGGGACGTCCTAGGCGAAAATTTATCCACCAAATTGGCGATTTATTCAAAACGGGAATCCAAATTAGGAGTACCCTTAACTGATGAGTATGTATGCGTAGGTGCATGGATGTGAAGGAGGCAAGAGAGGTGTGTCAGGTTTGTGCCAAATGGAAGTCTGTAGTCTCTGCCTACCCCTCTGGGTGACAGGCGTGAGTGTTTGTTTATGTTTATGTGATTATGCATGAACATGTGCTTTTTATATTTTACTAGCTGTACCCCGCGGTTTCACCCGCGTATATCACGCGTCTCTTCCGCGCGACATGATATGACACCTCGCTCATTTAGTTCAATCACTTTAGCTAAAAATTAGCAAAATTAATGGAGTACTTTTATCTATCGGCATATACACGTTATACAGAAAATTTAAATTTTATCCACTCACCCGACCCGCGATAGGCCATGAGTAAAACACTCTTTTCGAAGGTCGATCCCTACTTATTCGAAGCTTTGGCCTTGGGACTTGTTAATAGTTAACGCGAAAGATGTTCTTACCGGAAATTGAAGCCGTTTAAATGGGATTGGCAGATCAGTTGGGATCATCGGTATGCTCGGTATATGAGCTAGTTGACCAACTGATGGGCCGGTGATAATGGTCGCTACAGTTAAATTGTCCTTCAATTCCTTAATAAGCAGCCTCGTCTCACTATCTGTGATTCCATGAAGATGAGCCCTCATATTCGCCCGTAATTTTAAATTTTCAATCGAAGTCCATAAGGGAGACGATTTCAAGCATACTTTGATGATATCTGCTCGCGGTGAATTAATGACGGGAAGTGTCTGTCGGAAATCTCCAGCAAATACAAAAGTAATCCCGCCCATGAGAGCAGAAGAGTTTCTAAGATCTTTTAAGGTTCTGTCCACAGCCTCTATATGTGCTCTATGGCTCATGGTGCATTCATCCCACATAATTAATGAGGCGTCTTGTAGTAATTTACCAAGAGGCCCATTTTTGCGGATAGAACATGTAGATTGTTGCTCAAGAGTTACAGATAGCGGAAGCTTAAAAGTAGAGTGAGCAGTTTTTCCATCCTTTAAGAGAGTTGCGGACATTCCTGACGAAGCAACTGCTATCGCTATCTTCCCCGATTGTTGTATCTTAGCAAGTATCAAATTTGCAAGAAACGTCTTTCCAGTGCCACCTCGTGCATCCAAAAAAAAATTTTCCTTTGTTATTTTTCACGCTATCGACTATAGTCTCAAAAGCATGTCTTTGATCTGGGATTAATTTTGGCAGGTTTTCATTGACAAAAGTGGTCAAATCATTTGTATTATAGAGATGTGCCACTGTATCTGTAGCATTGTTTTCTGTACGAACTGAAGAAGGTAATCCAAAATGACTTAGGCTTTTATCATTTAATTGCATCATTTTTTTTCTATTTGTATCAAACCTTCGTTATAAATGTCCTCAGTGTTTAGTTGGGTTTAATTTTAAGCAATACCTACTAAATGAATTTAAAGCGAATTCAAAATATTAAATTTATTGGATTCCGCACACAACCGCTGCCGTAGGGGGCTGACCGCGCGAGTGGGCCGCGCGGCAATTTATTTTTTGACATAGACTCCCCTCCCACACCCCAGTGACACCCGCATCGCATGGTGCTGGCAGTGTACGCGATATAAGGATTTTTCGACGTTACTATTGAATATTTTAACATGGAAAAGTAGTTATTGTGAGAGTACTATAATAGTTAGACATATGGTATTGCAGACTTTTATGTAGATATTGATGTCCTCCATAAAACTGTAGCACATCACTTTGCTCTATTGTCAATAGTTTCCGCAGCGTACGCGATATAAGGTTTTCTTTTTGGTATTTTTTCACACCTTTGGTTACATTAACGAAGTTTTCATACGGATCCCTAAATTTTTTAAAAACGTTCTATCGCCTATGTTCATCAGGAATAATGTAGGATTCTAATGGTAAAAGAATTTTTCAAATCGGTTCAGTAGTTTCAGAGCCTATTCAATTCAAACAAACAAATCTTTCCTCTTTATAATATTAGTGTAGATGATGCCATTTTTGTAAAGGGCTTTTTGAATTGCATAAATTGTAAATAATAATTATAAAATACATTGTGATTATGTCAAAAAGATCAGTATAACTAATGACGTGCACAATGGTTACAAGAAAACTGGTTTTTGTAGCTATTGTCCCAATTTTAATACCAATTTCCGATTTTTACCTTTTATCTTGAAATACGATGCCGCTTGATTTGGTCTAGTATGACATTGACGTAAATGAATGAAGGCACAACATCAGTCAATTAATGATACATTGTTAAATTGCAGAACTTTTTTATGACTTAAATTGGTTTATTGCAGAACTAAATGATATTATTTATTTAATTATTAACAATTTTATACGTTTATTTAATAGTAAGCGATTTATTATAATTATAATATTTATCATTATAAAATATATATTTGACGGCTCGGTGGCAGAGTGGCTTAGCAATGAGTTTAGCGCTGAGGGTCGCGGGTTCGATTCCTGCACGGAACATAAATTAGTTATCTTTGATTTCAGGCATTTACCTCAACTAATTAAAAAGTTTACCACTTATTACTACAAAATATTTATTTCAAATCAGTATTGAAGACACCTCGCACATCAAATATACGGTAGCAGCGGTAAATAAACCGCCGGCAGCGTCCGACGCCGACAACATACTGTTGCGCGCCACAGTTAAAATAATCGGCAATCGGCAGTTTTTAATGTAACGAACCCTAAGCTCGTAACAATACTTTTATTCAAGATTGAGCGGCACAGCACCAAGCCTTCATCACACTATTCGAAGACTAAATGTGGAAGATAACAGGAACTTTATCCAACTTCTGATGTAGGCGAAAGAGGATCATCCTCAGATGCAATCATGATGGATGACGCAAATATGCATGCGTGACAACATAAAATACAAGAAAATATAGTAATCAGATAGCAATTTGTCGCAAATAAATGTTGTTTCCAAAAATCTTATAAACAACAACGGTTGCCACGTTACCACAGATACAACGCTTCGCTAGAATACAACTTTTACACTCGATCCAACCAGTATTTCATCAACGTGCCGATAAATATATAGATAAGCGTCAGTAGCCCAAATTGGTTGTTTAAGGAAATGTACTGCACACTCGGGAAGTCAAGTTTGAATCCGCCATCCGAATACTACTAGCATGAGCATTTTAAGCTTACTTGCAGTGATTAACGGGAGTATTAGTAATGACAGTAGCATTACTTGTTTTCTTTTTTAGAAAAACATTTTTTGTAGAACATCTTTTGTAAGTGTCCAAGTATATGAATTAAATACATATTTAATTGACTGGCAGAGAATGCTATAAGGCATTAAGTCCGCCCTTTATATCCCTTAGTATATAAGGTGTATAATAAAGATTTGGTTACAGCCTATATACGTCCCACTGCTGGGCACAGGCCTCCCCTCATTTCTGAGAGGGTTTTAGGGCAAGGAAATGTCCGCCGCGCTGCCCCAATGCGTGTTGGCGAACTTCACATGTCTTCGAAATATTTTTTTCTCTTATTCCTTAGACATGCAGGTTTCCTCACGATACTTTCCTTCATCGCCGAGCACGTGGTAAATTAGCACTTAAAATTGCAATTAACAATTTCATTGGTGCCGGCGGGGATCGAACCCGGGTTACTCGCGTTCTGTTATATTTACAGCGAGCGTTAACCATCTGAGCTACCACGGCTCCTATATATCTCCTATAATAAAGATTAAATAAATAAAAATAAATAAATATTTAAGAGTGTAATAATATTAGAGGTATTTTTATAGAAGAGGGGGCAAACGAGCGACGGCACTGTTCATTTGGTTTACCTTGTGCGCAGATGACGGTGGGCAGCACGCAGCGCTTCTACGTGGCGGTGAAGTGCGGCGCGGGCAGCGCGGCGCAGCTGTGGGAGTGCGTGTGGCAGCTGGGCGCGCGCCTGATGGCGCTCGTGGCCGACACGCCGCCGCCCTACCTGCCGCCGGAGCACAGCGCCAAGGACTATGGACAGGTCAAATTGACATATAAATCATAAACCTTGTATCCATAAGTGGGCTTAAGCCCACATAACATTACTCTATTAACATTAGTCTTTTTAAGAAGACTAATGTTAATAGAGTAATGTTAGTAGAGTAGAAATTTTCTTTACATGTTTGGTCCTTCGAGCCGGATTCGCAAGACTGAATTAAGGGGGGACAATTATCATTGAAGTCATAAGACTTGTGTTCATAAGGGACTATGGACAGGTGAAGGCGGGGCGTGCAGGGCTAATAATTTTCTGCTCACCAGCTGTCGCTAGCTGGGACTGAGGTTTGTCTTTTTATAGAATAAGGATGACAAACGAGCACCAGTGACAAAGGTTACGTGGCACCAGTCCACCTGATGAGTAAATGCTGTTGCCCATAGACATCTACGTCTGTTCTATCCTCGATTAAGGATCACCAAAATGGAATGACTCGTTTCCAGTGTATAGGGTTTCCGATTACTTACATTCGCCATACGAAACACATCAGCATTAATGATTTCTTATATTTACGCGAACACTACACATTAAATGAAACTATTTTTTTACGGATTTTATTGTGTTTAATTCAATCTTTTAATTCCCAACGTTTCGGGTGCTTTACAGCAACCATCGTCACGGAGGACTAAACATCAGCATTAAGTTACTGTATTACGCTAGTATTCTGTGAGAGGGTGGCGAATTGAGCCGACCCATTCGTGCTACAATCATATTGTAGCCATGCTACGGCTCTACCACGTTTAATACGTTTAAAATTGAAATCCATAAACTTGTTTCCAGAAGTGGGCTTAAAAGAACTAATATTGATGACGTTGATGTAGAATTAAAATTTTATCTAACGTGAATTTACATTGAAATTCACAGACTTGTGTCCAAAAGTAGACTTAAAAGGACTAATATCAATAGATAAATGTTACTAGAGTAGGAATTTTTTCTACTTATTTGGTTCTTCGAGCCAGATCTGCAAGGCTGATTTAAGGAAAAATAACAGAATTTTAACAGTAGTAGAGCCACGCGGCAACTTTTGCTGTTGCAAATATGGGCAGGCTCGAACCGTGGTGTTACCACGACCTCACAGATGATTAACGTGAAACAGAAGCTCTGCGTACCAGCATCCCCCCTGGTGACGGAGAATCCCTCGCTGAGCATCCACGCCTAAGCTACCCTACTCTTCCTGAGCGTGGGAGATCAGGCTGCCCCGGGTATTCTGGTGGGAGGGGTGGTGGGGGTGAAATTCGACTCGAGACTAAACTTGCTCGGGAAAACGGAGAAATAAGACAAAGGCGCCCCTGCCACGCTATCCGTAAATTTCTGCAACATCAGAGGTCTTCATTTTAACCGTAACGCATCTGTTTTCGACGATTCGGCAGCCTTGAAGGTACGGACCTGTCCATCCGATGGCTGCGCGTAGACAGCAACGACCATCCTCGCGTCTACGGGTGCCTCTATAGGTCCCATAGTGGTAATACCGAAACAGACCGACTCATCGACCACGTTCAAATGGCTACAGACTCCGTGCTACAACAGGTCCCATCCGAAAAGATCGTGGTGCTTGGTGATTTTAACGCCCACCACGCTGAATGGTTTGGTTCCCGTTTAACCGATCATACAGGTAGATCTGTTTATGACTTTGAATATGGTCTGACACAACTGGTTACCTCGCCTACGCGTATCCCAGATGTGGAAGATCATGTACCTTCCCGGTTAGACTTTCTGCTGACCTCTTTCCCAGACGGTATCAGGTCTTGTTCGCGTATCGCGAAATGCTTACATTTTAATATTATTGATCGGATCGCGCGAATCACAGGATTTCTGGTTATTCTGTGATATTATCACGATACTGCGATACGGCCTATTAGACTATCAATAATATCTAACAGCTTTCTATGGATACTTTAGAAGACAACTTAACTCTTAAAGTCACCATTCTTAGCATGTTTAAAAACAAGTCACAAGAACTTATAGATGAACCACAAAAATCGCAGAGCTGTTTGAAAATCAGTTCGTTAACAGCTATGAAAGAGAACTAGATGGACCAATTCCCTCTCTTGTTCATCTCCCTTTGTTATATTAAACAAAATCGGTGTCAGAATATCGAAAAAACGTTTGCGGTTTACAAAACTTACTAAAGGAGTTACGGAAAATTGAGCGTAACTTAGCGCGCAACGAATTATTACCGTAGTGTCCATTTCGTAGTATACATAGAAGTCTTTAGTAATGCTTAGATTATCGGTAGGAAAACTAGCAGAGTTACGTGGACGAGTACGACATCTTTACATATTAGTCTATTCACTCGTCGTAGACCTTTTAAATATGCATACAAGTCGATGCGAAGACGAAGTGTCTTCTTTTAGAAATTCACAAACAATTGAAATGAAAAAGAAAAGAATTAAAGATGGTAACGTATATGGTGCATGGCTGTTGTCAACGTGAAATTCTTAATTTCAGCTGAATCATGTTCAGCAGTGGACTTATATAGGCTGTAGTGGATGGATGGATGGATAATCAATTCATGGGTCAACTGAATAAGGTCGTAAACACCGATACTAATACACGATCCTTTGAGTCGAGCTTAGAAACCGATATCGAGTAGAGTGCAAGTTAGTGGCGAGCACACACAAACAAGTTGTTTACATGTTCGTACTCGTGCCTATTCGTCTTTTCTCGACGAGTATTGCATTTGATTTAAAGGGAATTGGACAATCTGTCATTCGACGTCGCTGCTACGAATGATGGTGAAGATGACGTATGTGTGTTTGTGTGCAGTTCAACGTATCTACATCGCGCTGGTCCCAAGCGGCTTGGGGCGGATCGGTGCGACTGCGCGTGCGGCGGGCTGGCGGCGCGGGGATGGGGACGGGGGGTGGCGCGGCGCGCGTGCGCACGTTGTGGCACGTGCAGTTCGCGCGCTGGTCGCCCGCTCAGCACGTGCCGGACGACGTTTCACAATTCCTCGGTAACTACAACAATATACCTAAGTTTGTATTATATCGGTGTTTGACTTGTATTTTTTTATAGAATATGGATGGCAAAATAGCATACAGTTCATTATGGTAAGTGAATGATGTGGCCCATAAACAAATACATTTCTCTTCTATTAAAAATCAAAATGCAGATGCGTTGTCGTCCCTGAAAATTTAGATAGAATGCCTCGTTTCCAGTAAAAAGGGTCGCCGGTTCTCTACACTCCCCATAGGAAACACAGTAGCATTGAGCTGCTGTTTCACGTTGGTATTCTGTGAGAGCGTAGTCCTTCTCCGGTCAAACCGACCCATTCGTTACTACAATCATATTATAATTGCAGCGTAGATCTACCACGTATAAAATACTCAACAATTTTTGTAATTTTATATTTTATATGTATAACTCAATCCTTTTACATAAATCAATTGATTACCTGATTCTCGAGCAAGTATAATTTAAGTATAACTGTGTTTTCGGAACCAGTTATCCTTTTTAAATAGGGGGGGGAGGTCGTTTATAGATATGGGTGTGTGTAAGTATTGTTTTAAATCTGCGGCATACGGCAATAGTTATTTTGTTAGTTTGTATTTTACCATTGTTTGATCTGTGTTGGCGATGGAGGAGAATCAGATACCCTTTGGTGCTAGAAATTAGTTATGATAAATATTCACTATTAAATGTAGTCTATGTTATTTTGGTACAGTTTATACCTCAAATTATAAAATCTAGTTAGATTTTTAGAGATTGTCTTCTGCAATCAATTTTTATCTCTTTTTAATATTAGTGCTGAAATGTAAATACGGTAATTAGTACGGTAATTTAGTATTTACGGGCTGATAAACTCACACAGTATCCGGTTGTCATTTTTCAATTTTATAATCTTTATTGTACTTTCTCCCATGTTTTTTTTTTAAATATAGAATAGTGTCAAACCAGCACACAGTTCACCTCAGTCCTAACCAGCGACAGTTTGTAGTGTAGCCTCCACTACGATATATGTGTACTTAATACTTATATTAGTGTTTAAAGTGTAGAATAAAGATTAGTCTAATTAAAGTCAACACGTTTCCTTGTCATTGACACCTTTGTAACATTGTAATCTGGTGAGCGTAAGATTATTAACTGTCATTGTACAATTTGTCGCGGCGCAGAGTTCCTGTCGGAGCTGAATGGTCTGCGGCTGGCGTGCGAGACAGGAGAGGAGGCGGGGGATGGTGTGGTGGGGGGCGGCAGCGCGCCGCTCGCCGTGATATGTCCGCAGGGCGCCGGCCGCAGTGGCGTCGCGCTCGCCGCGCACCTGCTGCTGCATGTGCTCGACACCAACCAGGTACCGCATACGTGTCCGCAGGGTGCCGGCCGCAGCGGCGTTGCGCTTGCCGCGCACTTGCTGTTGCCCGTGCTCGACACAAACCAGGTACCGCACACGCACAAACACAGACACGTACACACGCACGCACATACACACACGCACGCACATACACACACGCACACGTGTCCTTAGGGCGCCGGCCGCAGCGGCGTCGCGCTCGCCGCGCACCTGCTGCTGCACTTTCTCGACACCAACCAGGTACCGTACACGCACGAACACAGACACGTACACATGCACACACACACACGCACACGTGTCCGCAGCGGCATTGCGTTCGCTGCGTACCTGCAGCAGCAGCAGCACGTGCTCGACACCAACCAGGTACCGCACACGCACAAACACACACACGTACACACGCACACACGTGTCGGTTTCATCCTTTCAGAAAGAATGGGTCAATGTGTGAAAGAGTATGAATATGTAAGCCCGAGGCTGCTATGGATACGAATGAAAGTGGGCTTAAAGAAGCTGTTCTTGCTAGGGGTGTACGCCCCAGACATGTCTAAGCCCACTTACATCCGAGAGCAGTTTTGGGACATGGTAAGGATGGTGTTGACAAAATGTAAGGAAAATGAAAATATTATTATGTTAGGAGACTTTAATGGAAGGGTTGGGGTGAAGAAGGTCTGGTTATGAAAGGATATTGGGAATGTTTGGTGATGAAAGTATAAATGAGAATGGTGAAGACCTCCTCACTGTATGTGTGGAAAAGAATCTTTTTGTGACGAATACTTTTTTCGTCATAAGAAGATTCACATGTATACATGGGAAAGAGGTGATGATAGAAGCATGATAGATTTCGTAATTGTGGATGAAAGAATGAGGAAGCGCAGTCGTGTACGGGTTACCGGGGGTCCAACGTAGGGACGGATCATTACTTGGTCTTATGTCGAATTAATGGTCTTTTCAAGCGTTGGCGGCATCGGACATCTGTGTCTACCACTGCGTTACAGGGTATAAGAATAGAGAAGTTACAAGATGAAGATGTGAAAGAGAAGTATAAATGTGGACTGAGAGAAAGTATTAGGTGTTTGAATGAGTTGTGTATGAATGATTTAGACTTGAATACTGTGTGGGATAATATTAAGAAAGGTTTGGTGGATGCCGCCACTGAAGTATGTGTTGTAAGTAAGAGAACAAATGAAAGGAAAAGTAATACGTTGTGGTGGGATGATGAGGTACGGGTGGAAGTTGAATCAAAGAAGAAAGCATGGTTAGATTTACTAGCAACCAAAGCTGGTAATTCTTCTGGTATGAATGATGAGATTGAAAGAAAAAAGGCAGAATTTAGACGTCTAAATAAGAAAGTAAAAGAAGTTGTTGAAAGGAAAAAGAAAGAAAGAACGGATAAGAATGATAGAAGGATATCTGATAATTTCCAGGCTAACATTAAAATGTTCTGGAAACTCGTAGGAACTGCCAGGGGAAATACAAAACAGCCTATAATTAATGCTATAAGAGACGAGAATGGATGTATTCTGAATGATGAAGCTTCGAATTTAAACAGATGGAAGGAATACTTTGAAAGCGTGTTTATGAGTGAAGAGTCGTCTGAATTAAATGAACTAGAAATTCCGAAAGAAGTGGAAAGGGGTATGGAGATAAGTGTAGATGAAATAATGAAAGCAATGAAAAGCATGAAAGCAGGTAAGGCAGCTGGATATGATAGAGTATCACTCGAGATGCTAAGAGCTGGTGTGGGAGTGGTGGCAGGCCTGGTAACATTGTTTAATTTGTGTTGGGAATTAAAACGGGTACCGGATGACTGGTGTAAAGCAGTTATAGTACCAATATATAAAGGAAAAGGGTCACAGCAGGACTGCAAAAACTACCGTGATATCAGCTTGCTTAGTATTGTGGGTAAACTGTATCCTTAGCATACAGTTTACCCACAATACTAAGCAATGAATGCTGCTGTTAATTGAAAGAGTTATGAAAGAAACTGATGGAAAAATTTGGGATGTGCAAGCGGGTGTTAGAAAGGGAATGGGGTGTACAGATCAAGTCTTTTTCATGCGCATGATCGCGGAGAAGTTTTTGGCCAAAAACCAGAAAGTTTTTTGTGCGTTCATGGACTTGGAAAAGGCTTATGACAGAGTGGACAGGGAGGTGTTATGGCAAACGCTGAACTCATTTGGGTTGAGCGCTGGTTTGATACAGGCATTAAAGTCTCTGTATAGGGACTCTAGTGCTTGTGTCGGAATCAATGGGGTCTACTCGGACTGGTTTGGCATCCAAAAAGGTGTCAGATAGGGCTGTGTAGCTTCCCCTTGGCTGTTCAACCTATTTATGGACAGGTGTTTGCAAACTTTGAAAGATGAAGAATGTGGGTTAAGAATGGGCGAGTTAACCGTCAAATGCCTTTTGTGTGCCGATGATCAAGTTATATTTGCGTCATCGGCGGCTGAGTTGCAAATGATGGTTACATTAATGAACTGGGAATTAAAAGAAAGGGGTATGAAAGTGAACGCAAGTAAGACGAAGGTTATGGTTTTTGAAAGAGAAGAAAGTAAAACGATTTGTGAAATAAGAATAGAAGGGGGAGTTGATCGAGCAAGTAGATAACTTTGTATATTTGGGCTGCGTATTTAGCAGGGATGGGAGATATGATAAGGATATAGAACGACGAGTGAATGCGGGAAATAGAGTAAATGGGGCCTTGCACTCTATTGTGAAGAGTCAAAATGTGTCGAAAAAGGCACGTATGGCAATTCACAATGCTGTGTTAGTCCCTACTTTAACGTATGGTAGTGAAAGTTGGGTGTGGCAGAAGAAGCACGAGAGTAGAATAAACGCAGTAGAAATGCGGTCGTTAAGGAGTATGTTAGGGCTGAATCTGAATGACAGGGTGAGAAATTGCATGATAAGAGATAAATGTGGTATGCAAGATGATGTTGTGACCAGGATTAAGAAAGGAATGCTTCGGTGGTTTGGTCATGTAGAAAGAATGAATGAGGAAAGAGTGACAAAGCAAATTTATATGGCAGATGTGAACGGCCGAGTCGGGAAGGGACGCCCTAGAAAAAAGTTTATCGACCAAATTGGCGATTTTTGAAAAGGGGGCACGTTAGAAGTACCCTTAACCGACGAGCATGTATGCGTAGATATATGGATGTAAAGGAGGCGAAAGAGGTATGTCAGGATCGTGCCAAATGGAAGTCCGTAGTCTCTGCCTACCCCTCTGGTGACAGGCGTGAGTGTGTATGTATGTTTATGGAATGTGTATTGGCTTATACTCAAAGTCTGTTTACTAAGATAATGGCGGTACACCCGGAGGCTTATTGTTTTACTTTTATCTTATTTTTTTTTATTGTATATTTTAAATAAATGTCTATTCTAAGAACAAAATAGAACACTATTCTATTCTTATGGTTATTGTAATAAAATATGAATACAAATAATAAACACAAGTTAGGCAGCAAAGAACCTTTCACCGTAGTAAAAACTTCGTTTTAGGGTTGTACTGGGACCCCAATATGCTGCCTTCGGGGTACCCAAGGCAGCATATTGGGGTCACTTTTATTGTTATTATATATTAACGATCTCCCTAACATAATTACCTGTGCGTAATGTATGCCGATGATGCAACTATATTTATTTCTAATGATGACCTAAATTATTCTAATTGTAAAAATGGAATAAACAAAACATTGAAAACAGTTACTGATTGGCTGCAGTCAATAAACTTAAAAGTAAACCTGTCAAAAATCAAACTCGTACAATTTAGAAATTACAAAAGTACCTGCTAAATTAAATATAACCGTGAATGATATAGCGGTCGAAGAAGTAATGAACATAAATTTTCTAATCTAAACTGGAAGGCATATTATTGCAAAAATAAATAAAAAGATGTCCAGTGCATGTTACGCATTGTCCATCCTGGCAGAGGCTACAAATATAAGTGTAACTAGAAATGCCTATTTTGGCAGCGTTTATCCTCTCCTAACTTACGGTATCATATACTGGGGAAACTCAACAGATATACAATCCACATTTGTTCTCCAGAAAAAATGTCTTGGAACAATATACAACATGCATAGTATCGAATCATTAAGAGATGTTTTCAGAACAAAGGTTTTCCTAACTGACTGACTGGAATCTTTATCCTGGAACTATGTCTATTTGTTAAAAACAATATTTTAATTTGAAATCTGATTCAAAGAAAAACAGTCGCAATTAATATAAATATTTACTATAAAAGTACCTATATTACTGCTATTCGTGTATACAATCGGTTACCACCAGCTATTAAACAATTAAATGAAAATGTTGTTTAATAATATTAATGTTAGTAAGTAGTAGATTTTAAATTTATTTCCTTAATTGTTGCGTATCCGACATGGGTAGACTGTTGAGCCAAACACTATATGTTTTTGTACTAAGATCATATTGTACACAGTTATGCAATAAATGTATCTTTACTTTTAAAATGCCATATTATCCTCCGGGTGTAGCTTTATGCATTTGACGAGATGCGGTACGTGACAAGGCGGCGGCGCGACACATAGACGACCGTGAATTTAACGCGCCCTTTTTAAAATGGCTAAAGTTGCTTGAACACGAAGTTTCATCCAATGAATTCAACGGAGCAATAGACCATTGTTCGTGACCTACAAATTGTTTAGCATTCGTATCTTGTAATACGAAAATACCCACAGCCCACAAGCGAATAGAGTTAAAAGATATGTAGAGCCGCCATTTTGAATGGAGTAAATTTTAGAATAGAATAAATTTATTTGGCATGAGATGGTGTTACAATAATATTAACCTACTATTGTGTATAAAGTCAGTAACAATATTGTACTTACTGGCTCGATTGCTATCAAAATAAAACTGATCACCAGTTTGAACTTTTTATTTACTAAAACAAATGCTTTAAAATAACGGTTTGGTCTGGACACGAATATCGAAACTGTTGTGAAAAGCAATAAAATGGCGGCTATTTACATATTATTTGTTAATAAATCGATTCATTTTTAAAGTCAATATTCATAGACCACACGAATTCTTAGATTTAAGCTTTTATTGTAGATTTAAGTTAGGTCTCCTGAGTTGAAATCTTAGGATCCATGTAATCCCCGATCACGTATCCATTGTCAGAATTGAAAAACTAATCTCCATTTTGAACTTTTTAGTTAGACCGACTGCTTTCAAAATTTATATGAGAGTCCTTGTCGTCTCAGATCATGAATGAATATACTAACTTTATGTGAGATGAGTAACTGTGTCGAAATTTCTAGTGGTCTTAAACATGATTGCTGATCATGACACGTGATCCCGTGTTCGAATTCCGGGTCCAGCCAAAATCAATTATTGGGTTTTTCTATCAAGAAATTGTCAGTAGCAGTCCAGAGTCAGGAACTTGGCGGTATTTCATTCACTCCCGTGCCTCGGGAAGCACGGATAGCAGTTGGTCTCTGAACTCTCCGGTTTTGTCGGATTACCGTCCCATCGGACTATGGGAGTGAGGGAATACAGAGAGCATCTGCGCTTGCGCTTTTGATGAAGAGCCGTGGTAGCTCATATGGTTAGCGCTCGCTATAAATTTCATTGTACGCGAGCAAACCGGGTTCGATCCTCGCCGGCACCAATGAAATTGTTAATTGCAATTTTAAGTGCTGATTTACCACGTGCTCGGCAGTGATGGAAAACGTCGTGAGGAAACTTGCATGTCTGAGAAATATGAAAAATTCGAAAACATATGAAGTTCGCCAACATGCATAATGGCAGCGTGGCGGACACTTCCTAGCCCAAATAACCCTCACAGAAATGAGGAGAGGCCTGTGCCCAGCAGTGGGACGTATATAGGCTGTAACTGAGCTTGCGCATACACTTAGTCTGAATGAGTAAACCTGTACATTTTATATGTTAGTGTAATTGGAGCGCGTGCTCGTGTTTGACGTCATTTTAATGCATTGTACACATATTGTTCTTATAATAAATTCAGTACCATTACCAAGACGTTACGATAAACAGTGTTTTTTTTTTGCTTCCTAAAGTCTCAGTATTTGTGTGATACTCCTCAACAGCTTTTAATCTTGCATTGCACTGCATCACATATTTGCATAATTAGGCACACACACATGGCACTTTAATCCTGTCCTGAGCAGATGGCTGGTCTCCGTGGAAGACTGGCCGCCGTGGCCAAAATTTGGTCTGGGGAACATTGTTATTATTATATCACTAATTTTAAATTTATAATTTCAGGAGTTGGACATCCCGAGGACGATAAGCATGCTGCACCAACAGAGAGCGAACCTCATACAAAACGTGCACCAGTACAAGTTCCTGCATCAAGTGCTCCTGCACTATTTGAAACAGTCGCGCCTCATTTAGCTCTAGCGCTGATCAGGAACCGGTGAGCAGAAGACGTATATTGTGTCAAATACTAATTACTAACTAGTAGTTTTGTTTTGTTTTGTCGGTTCAAGTTATATCTAATACCACTATATATACTAGTTTGCAGTATTCTTGAATTGGTAATGTATATTGTTGTAGATATTATATATAGTAGTTATTTACATATATACAGTATTACTTATAAACGTTGATAACGGTTTACTTAACTTATAATTATCTCTACACCTGTCTCTTTCTAGCAACTAAGCTTTCTTAAATTGACGTGGTAATTATTTACATACAAATCGTCTTACTTATCCGTTGATTACTCTTTTTATTGGTATTAAAGTTGAGAAAAAGAAAAAAGAGTGAGCAACTAAGCATTTCTTAAATTGTTATCATAATTATTTACATTTATACAGTCTTACTTAAGTTGTAATTATCACTACACCTGTCTCTTTCATTTGTTATTAATTGATGTCGTATTATTTACATATATACAGTCTCTTATAAGCTTATAACAGTTGATTACAGCTTACTTTAGAATCAGACATGTGTAGAGATAGTTATAAGTTTTGTTATTAAGTAGAGAGGGGGGGAGAGAGAGAGAGAGAGAAAAAAGTATTGTCTATGGGTAATGAGGGAGAAACAAGATCTCATTTCAATGAACTCACGGATCCCTTCAAAGGTGCGATATAATTAATCCATGAGAGCCGGCGCATTATTTTACCACGTTTTTATTAACTTGCTTTCGTATATGTCTGTTCGGGTGGAGTTTTGTTATTTGGTTTTAAGCTATCTTCCCTAAGATTAAGATACTTGAAATTTTGATAGCTAACGGATGGTAAGTTGTAAAACGTAGTATATTAAAAAATATTTTAATTGTTTAGGAGACCTATCCCAGTTGTGGACTTAAAAAGCTGCTGTATGAATATATATTCACTTTCACTATAGTGGTATTAGATTACTACCTGACGGATTTTGCTACAGTTCAATGATATTTGAAAAGTGTAGAAAAGTTAATCGCTTTGAAACTGAAGCCCTAAAGTAGGTACTAATGAGCAGTTTGACGTATAAACTAACTAGCGATCCGCCGGGCTTCTCACGGGTGATTTTTGGATCTCGACAACGTATGTATGTTATTTGTTAATTAAAACTATAAGAAATATAATAATCTATATTATAGAAGGTTATATACGAATTTATTTATACAAATTTTTTATACGAAGAGATGTGATAGCTCAGTGAGGCTTTGTGGGGAAGCCTTTGATATGTACTCTATTGATACGATAATTATACATATAAAATTTCCTCTTGAATCATTCTGTCTATTGATGAAAACCACATCAAAATCCGTGAGTAGTTGTTTTATACTGTGTAATGTCTTCCTAAACCTCTCGGAAATGGGAGGTCTGTGCCCAGCAGTGGGACTCATGTAGGCTATAACTTTACTTACCCACTGTCCCTTGTAAATTTTAACCAAATCAGATAATTGGTTAGGTTAACATTTTTTCTACTACAGCCTATCAAAGTCACTGCCTCCCCATAAATAGCCTCATGAGGGGGCAATGCAAAAATATTTTTCTTATTGTTATTAAGAAGACTCTGCTGCTCATATGCCTCCATTTATTTCCCTCTGTCGCCTTTCTCGCGACAGCCATGGGACAATATGTAGTAGTAGATATTCTTAAACCTCTACTACACGGATAACATTTTTTTAATTGTCTAGTTTAAAACTGTCGTCAATTCCCATCCTCGTCGCCAAATGTAGTGTATGTGATCTAAATGAAACGGCCGTACTGCCAGAGAATTGGTTTATTACTGACTCATTATTTCGAAGTGCGCGTATACATCAACGCGCCTCTCTTGTACTTTTGTTAGGTTTTATCACATTTATCATGTTAAACAATAAAAATACTAAAATCTGCCTAAACGATATAAAGGGCGCATAGATCTGAAGTCTATAACCTACCAAAAATACAAGGAAGAAATTTGTGAGTCGTGTCACGACTTCGGAACTATTTTTTTTAATACCATTACGTACATCCGCGGTTTAACACAGGGTTTTTTCCTGTATCGTGAGGACAGTTTACATACATAAGTTTATCCAGAACAACTGTTTGTGGGCTGGCCATATAAATACTTGTTCCGTAAGGGATTCGAACCCACGGACCTCAGCGCTGCAACTCATTGCTAAGCCGATATGACACGGAGGCATCAATTTCCTTAACTTAACGTAACCCCTATACTTTTTAAATATCATTACTTAAATCATCTAAAATAACAAAATAAACGTAACATTGAGATTTTAACTGACTGAAACACACAGACCACCTTCGCCTAGTTTTTGTATATTTTCTGTATTTATTTATTTTTTACAATTTTAATATTAAAAAATATTTATGAATTACTGATGTATTAACTCAATGAAATTAACTATTTTATTATAATAAGATTAATTTGAGAGAAGTATTATTGAAGCTCATAGAGACAGGGTTTGCTGTGCCTAATTATAAAAAACTAAAAGTTTTCATAATTAATTCACTTTAATCTATGGTCTGTTTATGGACCGTATTAGGCATAGAATACTATAATACACAATAGAATGGCTGTCAACCTTATTTTGTACAAGGATCGGTGTCGCCAGGAGCACACATACAAGCAATTACGTCGTATTATCATTTTTGTTTCTAATATTTACAAAATATAAATAATTTCGACTTACTGGTTGTAGAATATGTCTCATTTATTTAATATCCATTTCCCGCTGTTCTTTCGCATTATTGAAATTTCATTTTTTAAATAATTTTCATGCAGCGACGCTTGACACGAAAATTGGAAACGATTGATTGTGTTGACATTCATACGTGTGAGTTGATATGTTAGTGGCTACACGAGCTCCGCCCACTCCCCCCGTTCTATTATGTATGTATCATAGTATTCTATGGTGTTGGATATTAAGTGAGAACTATGTGCCTTGAAGTCAGAAACTCGCGATCTGATGTCTTATGTGCCTTTGTATTTTTAATATTATTTTTATATAAGTTTTTGAGTGTTATATTATTAATGTAATTTCAATGTAACTAAGTTTTTTTAATACATTTACGACTACCAGTTCTGTCAACAAATTTTATAAAGATGTGCCGAAGTATCTCTAGCTCAGACTACGCATTTAGTGTCGCCCTATAGAATGCCTCGTTTCCAGTAATAATGATCTCAGGTTCTCTACATCTACCATACGAAACAAAGCAGCATTAAGCTGCTATTTTACGCTGGTATTCTGTTAGAGCGTGGTCTTTCCGCGGTCGAACCGACCCAAACGTCTGTAGGAATTAAACTCAGTAATATTTGGTTATCTTAAAATGGACACCAAAGTAACTAAGAGTAAGCACCAAGAATACTGTGTGATCGTTAAATTGTAATCAATAGAATCAGGCGTTACTTTGCGGAAATTCGTAATATTAAAGATTTTAAAAATTAATTAGCAATTAGCAATTTGTAAGATAATAAAATAAAATGTGTTTTACATAGTTTAATCCCCGTCACCACTACTCCCAACATCACTACACTAGAAAAGGAACACCACCGTTGAAAACACGACACGTGTTTTGCCTCTTAAGGAGACATCCTCAGGTGAAGTAGACTCTGCGATGGCGGACCACTAAGATTACGACTAAGACTTCAAAAAAAATCGCACTCAGCGTTATACGGACATCTAAGTTTGTTGACAGAACTAGCAAAACTATTTAGTCCGTGAAACAAGTCTGATGTTATACACATGGAACAAAAACCCGGTGGTATCCGTTAAATGCGTTACCAGAATCAGTATTCAAAAAGTATAGAAACTACTTTAGAAACCTCAACCAAAAAATATTAAATGAAATTATAATAAATTTTTATTTGCAAATTGCATGTGGTTTTATTACCTCTGGATTAGTCGGATAGTAAGAGGACAAAGACCCCGCCTTTCTTATGCACTTGTCAGAGGTGTTAAAACCACCTTAAAAATTAAAAAAAATCATGGTCGAGTTTTCTCAAGTTGTTTCTGTTGAATTATCAGAATCAATATATATATATATATATTGCTTCCGATAACGCACTTAACGGGACCCACAGGGTTCTTGTTACATGTTTTATATTATGAGAAATTATTTCCTAATAAATTTTACAATATGCATTTTGGTGCATCCAATGTGTTCATAGCAATTTTACCGATGTATTTTTTATTATCTAGTCGAACGGCAGCTTCTTGTTACATTAGCTATTTGTAAGTCACACGATGCATGAGCAGTTTTACTCTTTACTAACTACTGTTTATTAACACCATCAGATATCTAATCCTTTATTCATGAATTATTTCTTCAATACTTTTTTTTCTTCAAATATTTGTTCTTATAAAATGGTAAATTAATGTAATGTACAATTATGAAATATTTTTTTACTTTTAAGTAAGAAATACTAAATATGATTACACGTTGTTTGTTTGTAAGGAAAGTCAATAAAATAGAACCCGCACAAAATATTTTGTTTGCTGTAATCCGATAAACTACAGAAATTAAAAATTTACTAAACACAAATAACTTAATGTACAGTTTACTTAATTAACATGAATGCAATGAATTAAACAAAACATTGTGACATATTTCTACTGTTTATACAAATATACTTTTATACCCAAGTAACTACGCAACATAATTTTATAAAACATATCCATTTAAAACTTTTGTGAAATTTTTGTGAATGAACCAATTTGTTGAAATAAAAATCTATGTTATAGTATCATCAGTTAATTTTCATTATCTAATTATATTAAAGATGTTTTCTAGGTTTTGTTTTTATAAGTGCATATCTCATTTTGTAATTGTACTTTTATATGATTTCGTAGCATATTATTACGTTGTTTTTGTGTAAAATTTCGCCCACATCTGAGTCTGTCAGATCTGTGCAGATATTGTATACAATGTGTTATTTTTTCAATCGAGTGTTGTGTATCGAGT